CAAAAAATAGGCAAAAAATACAAGTAGCCAATTTATAAAAGAACAAATAGAAATGCTCAAATTATATAAGATTTTTATCCTCAAGGGTAACCAAATAATTCAAAATTAAAGCAGCAATGAATTTATTTACTTCTAACATTGCTAAACATTTTAAATGAATAAAAACTGTCATTATAGAGTGTGGGGAAATTAACACCCACTTTTTTTGGTGCTGGGTATTGGGTACAACTTTTCTGGAGGATAGTGTGGATCCAATTTGAGAATAAAAATGTTGTTTGCCTCAACAATTCTACCTCATTCTAAGGCAATCATCAGACACAGGATCAAGAGCATGTTTCTAGTACTGCTCATTGAAGTATCGCCTGTAAGACAAAAAACATTGCTTCTAAGACAGAAGTAAATTGGAAATTTACTACATATCCAATAACAAGGGTTCTAATAAAATAAGGCACAAGAAAAGACTTTGCCAAGAAACACTCGGAACTCTCTATCATTGCTGGTGAGAAGGCAAAATAGCACGGCCACTTTGGACAACAGTTTATCAATTTGTTGTATATTTATAAATACAACTGCTATATGAGCAACTAATCAATCCTGCCCCTAAATCTTTACCGGGTTAAAAACATTCCCATACATGAATGTTTGTAGCAGGGTTAATCATCATCACCCAAACCACAGATAACTCACAGGTCCATCAGCAGAGGAATGAATAGGCCCACTGTGGTACCCCTGCCCTGGAGTTCCAACATGGATGCATCTCAAAGACATCACACTGAGTCAGACGCCAGGCTCAGAAGCCTACGTTTCGGTGACATTCCGGAGAAGGCTAGACTGTAGAAATGGAACATATTAGCTGCTGCCTCTCTCCGGGGTCCTTGCAGGAGCTTCCTGTAATCATCCCCTTTCTGGTCTCCTTGCCTTTGCCCTTGGCTCCGTTTGTGTCTTCTCCCAACAAAATGGCCAGAGAGATCCCATTAAGCTTGGAAGTGACATCACTGCCCTGCTCAAAACCCTCCATGAGTTCCTTTCCTCTAACCATCTGATTCCCTCCCCACCACTCCTATAAACCATCCAGGAAACAAAAGACCACCTGCTAACCTCACCCTCCTCCCTTTACTGTGCCAAACTCAGAGAACTTTTCCTCTAGGACCTTACTGCCCAAAACCAAAGGCATTACAGTGGCCAACAAGGTCCTGCCCACCCCACTGCCTGCCTCGCCCATTACCTCTCCCGCTGCATCCCATGTAATTAAAATTTATCATCCACACCAGGACACTTCTGAGAGTAAAAGGAAGCACCGTTAATAATTACGCCAGGGCAAGAGATGCAAACCAGGAAAATCCAGGCAAACCAGACACAGTCCCCTCTACTCTTCCACCTTTTGCTCTGAGCACGCCAAGTCGGCCACATGACCTCACTGCTGCTGCTCAAATCCCCCCAGGCACGCTGCTTCCTCAGCACCTTTGCACTTCTTGTTCCCTGTGCTTGATGTCCCTTATCCAAGATGTCCACGGGACTCTTCGTGCAGCTCTTGGCCCAAATGCCACTTGCTCAGTGAGGCCCCTCTCCACCTCCCTGGCCACCACTCTCCACCCCTCCCTTCTCTCTCCAGCACTGTTATCCACTTATTAGCACACTTATATAGCACACTTGACCTATTGGCTGTGCTCCTCAGCTGTCTCCTCAGCCAGCCCCACTACACTATGAGTTCCAAGAGAACAGAGCTGGCTGGAGATTTAAAGTATTCCCAACACGCAGAAAAGTTCCCTGCACATATTAGGTGCTAAATAAACACTATTAAGCAACTGATTTGTTTTCAAATGTTCCTGAAAACTTTCCAAAGTTTTCATGTTTTCTCCCGGGTGGGTCCCAGTCCCTACCTCCTTCCTGCACAGAGACTTGGAACAGGTGGTATCTGAACCAGACCTTCTGAACCACTCTTGACCTCCCCCATGGAGGTGGATTCTGCTGTGCCCAGCCACACCTGCAGCCCGGGACTTTGCCAGTTTATTGGCTGGGCAGCCTCCATTGTGAGGTAGCCCTGGTTTCCTCCCTGCTACAGGCAGACAAGCTCTGAGCCACACATCCAGGCACCAGGACCTGCAGTCCAATGGTGCCTTCGTCCTCCCAGTCACACTGTTCACTTGGCCCCACAAAAGCCAGGGCTGCACTGGGAGAGGCCAAGAGGCCCGGTGAGTCCTGGCAGGTGGCAGCGGGACCGAGGGTCAGCGGCGGCAGCCCCTCGCCCGGCCCCCTGGAGCCAGGTGAGGCTCCTTAACCAACATCAGCCTTTCCTGCCGCCACCCTCCCCTGATCCTCCCACTCTGGGCTTCAGCCAGGCCAGGCACCAGGACCGGGAGCCAGCATCTCGGGTCCCCGGCCATGGCGTCTCTGGAGAGAAGCCCATGGGAGGCTGACTGAGCCCTGGCGCCATCACCTTCCTGCCATGTTGGAGACGTCACTGGCGGGAAAGGAGTGCAGCAGTGAGCCGAGCTCCTCGGCTGTCGGCTCGAAGTCCTCCTCGGCGAGCAGCCACAGCCTCACTCCGGACAAAGGGCAGCCTGCAGGGGAGGCTGCCGGACTCTCGTAAGTGGCCCCACTGCCCTTCCAGACCCTGGGCCAAGCTCGGGCCATGCCTTCCTACTTCCCTCTTCTTGTGGCCATGGCCATCCCTGAAATGGAGGTGCGTAGATAGAGCAGGCGTGAAACGTGCAGATCCAGCAAGGTGGATTCCTGGGGCTCCGGGTTCCTCCCTGCCTCCCAGCCTTCGGTGAGACAGAGCCGCTGACCCGAACATGAGCTGGGGACTCCAGGAGGAGTTTTCTGTCTTAGGCTGGCTGCTCGTCCTTTCTTTCTGCCACAGTTTCATGCTGTTTTCCTCTCCTTGAATGCTCTCTCTCTCTCTCTCTCTCTCTCTCTCATCTTTCTACAAATCCTCAAGAAACAAAATGTCACCATGTCCCTACCTTTAACATGCCAAACTCACACATCTAGAACTTTCTCTCTAGGACTTCACTGCCCACAAGAAACATTATCTAATAATCGGGCCAAATAATAGCATTGGCTATCGTGGGGTGTAAATGGCCATGCCCAGTGTTGATAAGGGTACCAGGAAATACCCTCTCTCACATCTTTTTGCGAAGAAGTAAACGGATACCGTTCTGCATAGTGATGTTGCTATGTATGTCAAGTCCTAAAATGGCAGTTGTATAAAACACTTACTTACTTGGCACATTGTGTCTTTACAAGTGTGTGTATACGCACATAGCTAGCTGCTATGGCTACCTCTGAGAAAGAGAATTGGGAGACAGAGAGCCAGGAGAGAGCATTACAATCATTAGGGTTTTTTGGTTGGTTGAGTTTTGTTTTACTTTTTGAATTTCAGGCTGTTACTACCTAGTTGTTAAAAGTATAATTAAATATAAATAAATATGGCATTACTTCAAATGTTTGTGGGAAAATGGAGTTAAAAGATATGCTTGTTTTGGTGGAAAAATTTTGAAATTCACTCATTTTTCTTGTAATACACATTTATTGTGAATCCTTGGAAGGCTCCTTGTACATCTACAAGTAATAATAGCACTTCTAGAAGATTTTTTTATATTTATTTTAAGGCTTTTTTTTACTTATGTGAAAGTCAGAATTAAAGAGAAAGAAAATTGATTTTCTATGCTCTGGTTCACTCCCCAGATGGCCGCAATGGCCACGGCTGGGCCAGGCTGACGCCAGGAGTCAGGAGCTTCACCCAGATTTCCCGTGTGGGTGGCAGGGGCCCAAACACTTAGGCCATCTTCTGCTGCTTCTCCCAGACCATTAGTGGGGAGCTAAAAAATACTAAATTTAATAAAGAAATGAAATATGGATATGCATAAATTCTTTGCTGTTGCTAAAATAGAAATATTTCCTTTGTAGACGTTTTTTTCTAAAAAAATAGCATATAAATGTACAGTATTTTTTAAAGATTATTTATTTGAAAGAGTTACAGAGAGGCAGAGGCAGAGGCAGAGAGGTCTTCCATCCACTGGTTCACTCCCCAGATGGCTGCTCCAGCCAGAGCTGGGCCTATGCAAAGCCAGGAGTCAGGAGCTTCTTCCAGGTCTCCCATGTGGGTTCAGGGGCCCAAGGACTTGAGCCATCTTCTACTGCTTTCCCAGGCCATAGCAGAGAGCTGGATTGGAAGAGGAGGAGCTGGGACTCGAACCGGCGCCCATATGGGATGCCGGCACTTCAGGTGGTGGCTTTACCTGCTAATGCCGCAGTGCTGGCCCCAATCAGAAACTTTTTAAGCACTTTTTTTTTTTTGAAATTCATGTAAAATGTGTATTGTGTGGGGAAAAAAAAACTATGAATGAATTTCAACTTTTTTGTACCAAAATAAAATAGCATTCTAATTCCGTTTTCCATAAGCAATCCATGTTCCCAGTGAATCTGGTCGTGTAAGTGGAGGAGAGAACCTGAACCAGCACATGAGCCACATGGGTAGGAAATGATGCTTTTCTGCAGTGAGTGAGTTAGTAGGTGACCTGGTGCTAATACACACTCGTGAACTGGAGCAGGAAAGTAGCCTAATGGTTAAGACTGGGAGTACCTGGGTCACCCCGCCCCATCTCCTAATTTCAACTTCCTGCTGAAACAGACCCTGGGAGGCAGGGGTCATGGCTCAAGTGCCTGGGCTTCTGCTGTCTATGTGGGAGACAGGGATTCCGTTCCCAGTTCCGGGTTTTGGCCCAGCCCAGCCCCAGCCGTTGCAGGCACTTGGGGAGTGAATCAGCAGACTGGAGCTCTCTGGCACTCTCTCTCTCTGCCCCTCAGATACATACATTTATGCATACACACCTACTTAGTATTCTGTAAGTAGAGGCAATTATTACTTAGTTTTTCTTTACTTAAGTGCATGATAGATGTGCAGTGGGTCTCAGTAAATACTGCCTGAGTGACCAAATCACTGGGTGAATCAATAAACCAGCCGGTACCAGGCAGTTATCCAGAATGTCAGCGATTATGTTTGCTTTTTCTCTGGAGCCTGAAACGGCACTAGCCCTGGATCACACATTTCTGCACAGATCCTGGACCTGAGGGATGCACCGGGGTCCACTTGGTCTGGGTTTGTCCCTGTTCCCAACAGGTGCAGCCGGAACCACGGGAAGAAGGTGAGCTTTGGAGGTCCTTGCCACCACCAACAGCACCCTGTTGTCTCCTTATTGTCCCCACCACAGGATGGTGCAAACCTTGATCCACCTGTTGAAATGCAACGTTGGCACAGGGCTCTTGGGGCTTCCTCTGGCCATAAAAAACGCCGGCTTACTGGTAAGAGGCACCCGTGGGATGGAAACCAGCTCCCCTGATGTAGGGGAGGGGATGAAAGATCCACAAGGCCTTTGCATCGTTTTCTGCTGGGTGATTTGGAGAGGCTCTCTGCAATAGGAAATGTGCCTGGTGGTGTCAGTTCCCTGGAGGCCGACTGTGCCTCCCTGGAGAGGATGGGCCATATGCAGAAAGCCCCACCGTCCCCACACAGCCTGCACTTGCCCGTCCTCCCCACCCCCGGGGTTGCATGCATCCCACTGAGCTCATTCACAGGGCAGCCTGGTCCCCACAGGCATCTGAGCAGGTGAATCCCATCTCAAACCATCTGCTGATTTGTGAGTAAGTAGCGTGGGCATGAGGACCAGCAGACCTCCCGAATCCCCACCCTCCCTCTTGGTGTGTACTGTTCCTGCTCCTCTGACTTCGTCATTTCAAATTTGCTTCCTTTCTAAAATTTTATCATGTCCCATTAAAATTAATGACATTCTCAGGCCGGCGCTGCGGCTCACTAGGCTAATCCTCTGCCTTGCGGCGCCGGCACACCGGGTTCTAGTCCCGGTCGGGGCACCGGATTCTGTCCCAGTTGCCTCTCTTCCAGGCCAGCTCTCTGCTGTGGCCAGGGAGTGCAGTGGAGGATGGCCCAAGTGCTTGGGTCCTTCACCCCATGGGAGACCAGGAGAAGCACCTGGCTCCTGCCATCGGATCAGCGCGGTGCGCCGGCCGCAGCGCACTGGCCGCGGCGGCCATTGGAGGGTGAACCAAAGGCAAAGGAAGACCTTCCTCTCTGTCTCTCTCTCTCACTGTCCACTCTGCCTGTCGCCGGTGTAAGCAGGGCAGCCGGGAAAGTAATGTCTCACCCTATGTTTTTCTGTAATTTATATCTACCTCATCTGGGATTCAGAAAGCACTTATAAAACTAAGGTATATTTGTTTTTTATGGGCCTATCTTCCTCACTTAGTCAAAAACTCTGGGGGCAAGAACTGTCTGATCTCCCTTTCACCTCACAAAGCACCTGCTGTAGAGACTGACACCAGGCAATCCTATTAGGGTGAATTGAATTGAACTGTGAAGTTTCCCTTCTTTCCAGGCCAGGGAAGTGGCCCAGGGTCTACAGAAGACAAACCAATACCCTTGCTTCTTCTGAAATGACTTTTTTATTCTGTAGTGATTCCAACCCAGAGGTGGACTCTACTCTTTGGAACTCTCTGGGTTCTTGTTGTTGGCCAGTGTGGGTGTGCTTTTTAAGGCAGCGTTTTTATCCTTTGATTGTTTGTTATTAAGAACCACTAGATGGTTGCTTTACCCTCTTTTTCCCCCCAAAACCTCTGCCCAGGAGTCACTGGGGAAATCTTTGTTGAGCACCTGTTATGTGCATTCTAAGGCCCAAGAGGTTTGGAAATAAACAAAACAAGGAAGTCTCCTTTCCATGAAGGCTGCCCTCTAGTGGATACTGGTGGTGCTGCTGAGCCCTGCTTTGTTTCTAGTGTTGGCTCACAAGCACAGGTGTCCGAAACACAGGTCAGAGTTTCTATGTCCTTCTGCAAAGAGAGGATTCGTCTTTGGCCCTGCTTTGGAAAAGGAATGTTGGTAACTTAGACACACCAGAGCAGTGATTCTCAACTGGGGATCATTTTGCCTCGCTCCCTGCCACCAGCACCAAAGACATTTATAATGTGTAGTGACATTTTTGGTTGTGTCAACCTGGGGAGGGGGTCAATGTCTCCTAGCTGGTAGAGGTCCAAAGATGCTACTGAACAGCCTATTAATAGGACCGTCATTTACAATAGAGAATCATCCATGGGCAGATGGCAACAGTGCCCCCTGCTGATCAATTCAAGATGGCACCTGTGTCCCTTGCTACTAGAGGAATGAGAACGGAGTTCCAAGAGTAACCTTGATCTTTAAATGGGTGGAGGCGAGGGTCAGGTCTAGCGAGCAGAACTAAACTTAGCAGGAGGGATCCCGCATGGTAGAGCTTGAAGCAGACACGAGAGGCCTGTGCCGAGTGTGGAGGTGGTGAGCTCTGCCGCTGTAAGTTCCTGGCAGAGCCACTTTGCTGTCGTGCCGAGTGCCTTGCAGAGATGGTGTGGTTCAGTGAGGAGTCGGGGTGTGGGCGTGATTGGCTTGCAGCTCACTGACCTGCCTCCCCTCTCCCCGCAGGTGGGTCCTTTCAGCCTGCTGGCCATCGGCGTCCTCACCGTGCATTGCATGGTCATCCTGCTGAACTGCGCTCATCACCTCACGCAGAGGTGAGAGTCGCGCCTCTCCCTCACCCCGCACCTGGCCGCAGCTGTTGGGGGAGGGGTGGGGTTTGTTTTGACGGCTGATCCCATTAACTGGGTCACTTATCCAGGCCACCATCCCTGCTGCTCTGGATTCTTTGTGTTGTTTTTTTTTTAAATTTATTTAAATTCTACAAGTTTCATATATTTCATATATACAGATCTAGGAGCATAGTGGGATATCCCCCCCCCACCCTCTCTCCCACCCACGCTCCAACTCTTCCTCCCCCTCCCTCTTGGATTCCCATTTTTAATTTTTACAATGGTCTATTTTCAATATTCTTAATGATTATAGTTAACACTACTCTAAGTTAAAGAAGTTCAACAAATAGCACAAAGAGAAAGAAAAGAAAGCAAAATATAACACTGTTCCTCAATGGAATAGACAGGGGCTATGAACAGTCATCTATCTCAAAATGTATTTCACCCCAATACATTTCAGGTATTTGATTAGTTATGTTGGATCAGGGAAAACATATCTGTCTTTTGGGGACTGGCTTATTTCACTAACTATAATGTTTTCTAGTTGCAACCATCTTGCTGTAAAAGACTGGATTTCATTTTTTTTTTTACAGCTGAGTAGTACTCCATTGTGTACATATACCATAATTTATTTATCCAGTCACAGTTGATGGACATCTGGGTTGATTCCATATCTTTGCTATTGTGAACTGTGCTGCAATGAACATGGTGGTACAGATAACGCTTTCATATACTGATTTCTATTGGTTTGGGTAAATTTATGGGAGTAGGAGTAGGATGACTAGATCATATGGTAGGTCCATACTCAGATTTCTGTGATACCTCCATACTGTTTTCCATGATGGCTGCATCAGTTTGCATGCCCACCAACGGTGGACCAGCTTACCTTTTTCCCACATCCTCACCAGCATTTGTCAATTTCTGTATGAGAGCCATTCTAACGGGGGCAAGGTGAAACCTAACTGTGGCTTTGATTTGCATTTCCCTGATGGTCAGTGATCCTGAGCATTTTTTCATGTGCCTGTTGACCATCTGAATTTCCTCTCTTGAAAAATGCCTGTTCAAGTCCTTGGCCCATTTCTTCAATGGATTGTTTTGTTGTTACTGAATTTCTTTATACATTCTGAATGTTAATTGTTTATCAGTTGTGTAGTTTGCAAATATTTTATCCCATTCTGTTGGTTGTCTCTTCACTATGCTGAGTGCTTCTTTCGCAGTGCAGAAGCTTCTCAGCTTGATGTAATTCCATTTGTCAATTAGGGCTTTGATTGCCTGTGCCTCTGGGGTCTTGTCCAAGAAGTCTTTGCCTATGCCAGCGTCTTGCATAGGCATCCCATCTTCTCTGGTGATTTAGTGGTATCAGGACATAGGTTTAGGTCTTTGATCCATTTTGAGTGGGGTTTTGTATAAGGTGTGAGGTAGGGGTCTTGCTTGGCACAGCAGTTAGAATGCTGCTCTGGATTCTACAGAGGCAGTAGAAGGGGTGAGAAAGAATTTCTCCTGGAGACTCAGACCTGACTCCACAGCTCAGAAGCTGGGCCACTTAGGCAGGTTCCTGCGTCCCTCTGAGCCTGACTGTCCTTCCCTGGAAGCATCACAAGTGAGAAAACTTGCAGAAGCACTCTATAAGCATCTGCACATACGTACTTATCCTGGCTGTCTAAGTGGATGGATGGCTACATCCATGCATGATACGTCGCTGCCTAGATGATGAGACACTCACAGATGTCTCCTTTTGGTCTCCCCCTGCAACTCACACATCTTGTCAGGGTAATTTGTCCTAAACAAATCCCTTTCAGGGGAAATTAATAAACACCTGGTTGACAGTGAAGTGAATGGTTTGCAAAGACTGCAAACACTACAATATTCAAGTCCTACATATTTGAAACTTTCACGCAAAACCTGAAAGAAAAGACAAAAGCAATGAAAAGCAATAATACTGAGATTCCCCAGCTGAGAGCTCAGCTGCTTTCAAGGCTTGCAAATCTTACTAGGTCCTTATAACTATGAAGAAAGGCTTCATGGGTCACAGTAGGAACGTATTCCACAAAATGCTTCCAAAGCCAAATCGTCATAACCCAGACAAGGTGGATCTGGAGTAGGTATCAGCCACACCTCGCCTGTAGGGCACTTTCCAGCTCACAAAATCCTTTTATGAGCATTTACTCACTGAGCAGTTAAATTTATTGTGCAACTACAGTGTGCCTGGTTACCACGCCAAAGGTCTCCAAGTCTTCTGTACTCCTTACAGTCAACCTCCATGGCAGGCACTATTTTTATTCACATTTTATAGATAAGTAACTGAACCTTGCATGCCTTGCCCAGGGTCACACAGCTCGGAAGTGTTCTTAGCCGTTTTGCAAAATTCTGTACCTCCAAGGATCATTACATCACTAGGTAGGCTTTTTTCAAAGATTTACTTTATATGAAAGAGTTAGAGAGAGAGAGATCTTCTATCTGTTGAATCACTTCCCCCACCCCTGCCCTAGATAGCCACCAACAGCCATGGCTGGGCCAGGCCAGGAGCCAGGAGCTTCATCTGGGTCTCCCACGTGGGTGCCCAAGGACTTGGTCAACCTCTGCTACTTTCCCAGGTACATTATTAGCAGGGAGCTGGATCAGAAGTGGAGCAGCTGGGACATGAGCCAGTGCCCATATGAGATACAGCGTCCCTGGTGGTGGCTTAGCCCACTGTGCCACAGCGCCGGCTGTGTGATGTGTGCACATAGATGACAGCCTTTCCCCGACTTTTTCTGATGACTTACCTTTTGCTTTTCATCATACCGAGGTTTCACGGTGATGGCCTCAGAGCTGACTGTGGCCTTCAAGTATGTTTGTAGGCTTCCGCAGCTTTTGGCTGCTCTTTATTTGAAAACCTGGAGATTTCACATTTAAAAAAATCCACCTTCTCCTTACCAGCTAGAGCATCTGCCTCTGGGCCGTCACGTCATCCTCATTCAGCAGTCAGGCCCTTTGAGACCTGGATGTACACTTCTGGGCTTGCCTCTGTCTTCCCTACTCACTTCCTGTCCTGCACCCACCGTCTCAATAACACCTACACCTGTCTGATCCCCGTAGCTTTCTAAGTTGCAACCCTCAGACCCAAATATGTGCCACTCCTGGGCAGTGGAACCTTGCTTCCATTGCAAATGCCAATCACAGGGAAAAAGAAAACAGAAGGGTCATGCCCGCTCGCGACTCGGCCCCATCTCTCTGTGTTGCCTCCCCTCACCCCAGACTGCACGTGAAAAATCTGAGGCTTGGGAAACCCAAAGAGCCTTGTTCAAGGTCACCGGCCACCTGAGGGGCACATTGGGATTTAAACCCTGGTTTCCTAACAGGTCCGGGGCTCATTCTGTCTCCCAGCTGCTCCTCTCCCTTCTGCAATTAACACTGAGCATGCAGGGTGTCTGTAACCTGCCTCGGCTCCCACCTGCTCCTGCCAAAGACAGACAGAGACGAGGGCCTGCCCCACCCTCAGAAAGGGCAGAGGGACAGGAGAAGGGGGTGGCTGGGACTTGGGTGTCACGTCCCACGAGGTGCTGGGCAGCAGCCTCCGCATGCCCTCTGAGTCTGAGCTCTGGCCAACCCCGCAGCAGTGGGAGTGGGGGAGGGTAGATGGAGAAGACACAGAATCCAGTCCACCCACACGGCCTCTCCCCGACACCTTCCCTCCCCATACTCCCTCTTTCCTGCTTTGCAAACCTAAATCAATGCACAGCTACTCTGTATGCAAAAAATAAATAAATAAATAAATAAATACCCCTAATATCTTCATGCTTAAAATGATAACCAGAGGTGCCAGTGCTGAGGCACGGTGGGTAGGGCCGTTGCCTGCAACGCCGGCACCCTGGATAGGCTCGCGTTCGTGCCCTGGCAGTTCTGCTTCCAATCCCACTCCCTGCTGATAGCCTGGGAAAAGCAGGGGAAGGTGGCCGAGTGTCTGGGCCCCTTCTCCCATGTGGGAGACCTGGACGATCCTGGATACAGCCACTTGGGAAGTGAACCAGCGGATGGAAGATATCTCTCTTTCTCTATGTCTCTCTGTAACTCTGACTTTCAAAATATGGTAACTAGAGAGAAATCAAAAAGTCTTTCAAGTATTAAGTACTGTATTGCTAGAAAATCAAGAGAAAGTTTCCCTCTTGCGTACGAAGCCACAGCAGTGCCTCCCTTTGGGAGTAAATGCCAACTTTGACAACATCCTTTAGATGGTGTCTTGTTCATCCTTTCCCTTTAGACTACACAAGACTTTTGTGAACTACGGCGAGGCCATGATGTACAGCCTGGAAACCTGTCCGAACCCCTGGCTGAGGGCCCACTCTGCATGGGGAAGGTACTGACCCCTGGCTGAGGGCTGAGGGCCCACTCCGCGTGGGGAAGGTACTGACCCCTGGCTGAGGGCCCACTCCGCGTGGGGAAGGTACTGACCCCTGGCTGAGGGCCCACTCCGCGTGGGGAAAGTTGTGGCCCTGGCGGCAGCAGTGATGACCAGGGACTGTCTGCACCTGCTCTCCTCAGTTTCTAGCTGCACGGGTCTCTGATGGACATGTTTACTGGAGACTATGAAATGATCTAGAGAATTCCCCAGCAACCCCTCCCCTAGCTGGTAAACAGCCGTCCACACTTTGTGTACTGTCCATGTACCTCGGTAGATGTGTGCCAATGGAAATTTAGCGTTGGCTTTATATTTTCTTGTACATTACTTAGAATCATTTTTGGAAGGCCTTTTCTTTCTCGTGTCAGTGTAGCTCTGATTTTTGTTCATGTTGGGACCCATAGATCGACTTACACTTTTGAGGCTCACAGTGCCCCCCGCCCCCAGCATGGATATAAAGCAGCATTTTATTTGATCATTCCCCCTATGGTGTTTCCATGCTTGGTAAAAAGTTAGTGTGTCCAAAATGGTTTTCTATATCTTAGCTCCTCTGATCAGGCAGAATGGGATTTCATTGTCCTGGAACTATGAAGTGAGCAAGGCTTATAGAAATAAAAACAACTTATGATATCTAGGAAATCAATAATAGTTTTAAAATGGCCAACTGACTTTCTGGATATTGTGTTGTATCTGTAGTTGACTTTCAAATGGTTCTGAAAACAATGCAAGAGTGTGAGTGTATGTATATATGGATACATACATACATAATGTAATTTGAGACCAAAAATTAGCAATCAGAATATTTACTTAAAGGGCATAAAGACATTAATGATACTATTCTTTCAACTTTCTCTGTAGGCCTGAAATATTTCAAAATTTAAAAAAATGGGGGCAAGTAGCAGTAGAAATAATTGCTTCAAAAAATGAGCACATTCTGCTAAAGCCACATTCATGTCTCTCTTCTCTCTCAGCCTGTTCTTTTCTTCCCCAGGTACATCGTCAGCTTCTTACTAATCATCACGCAGCTGGGCTTCTGCAGTGTTTATTTTATGTTTATGGCAGACAACTTGCAGCAGGTATCCTGGGCAGGTGGGAGAAAAGCAGAGCTCCTGCTGTCGGGCTGCGGGCTGCATTAGTAAAACCTCACGTTCAGGCCCTGCGGGGAGGCAGCGGGACTGCCACGCCCTCATCAGACCTCGTGGGAAAGTCCTGTCAGCCCTGGGAGCAACATTTTAAAAGGATCATAGAGAAGCCCCTGAGAAGGCTGAAAACTGCTTTCAGCATCTCAGGGTTGTCATGCAGAAGCTGCCTACCTAAACATAAAGCATGCGAGCTGCCGCCTTCCCTTCCGCGATAGGAGGCAGTCCGCACCAAGTCCTCGCTGCTTCCTCCTTGGTTCTGTCCGCTGAGTCACAGTGGCTAGAACTGCTACAACTGCGCCGGTCCAAAGCCAGGAGCTTCTTCCTGGTCTCCCACTGGGCAGCGGGGGCCCAACCACATGGGCTGTCTTCTACTGCTTTTCCAGGCACCTTAGCAGGGAGCTACTGTGGAGCAGCCAGGACTGGATGCCCATATGGGATGGTGGCGTTGCAGGCAGCGACTTAACCTAGTATGCCACAGTGCCAGACCCCCATCCCTGCTTTTTATGTTTGGGAAGGGGAAGGATTAGCCTGACTGTGTTAGCTGAATATCTTCTCTTATCTCTCCCTTCCTCCACCCTCTGGCCAACCAAATATATGACAACTCAATTTTTAGCTTATCAACAGGCACTACAGTTAGGGTTGCCAGATTTGTTTCCCCCAAAAAAATAATAAAATAAATAGATAACCTCATTTTTTAGAATTTCAGAAAAGTAGTGAATACATTTTTTTACTATGAAAATCTCCTTTGCATTATTGGGCCTACATTTATCTAAAACAATTAACAGCTAATCACCTGAAATCAAACGTAACGGGGTGCCCTGTATTTAGGCCAACTCGCCTAACCGCACTGCCTTTCCTGTGCTCTGTATCAAGATAGCGGAAGAAGCCCATGTCACCTCCAGGACCTGCCAACCCAGGAAGATCCTGGTGCTGCGGCCCATCCTGGACATCCGGTTCTACATGCTCATAATCCTGCCCTTCCTGATCCTACTGGTGTTTGTCCAGAACCTCAAGGTGCTGTCCATCTTCTCAACATTGGCCAGCGTCACCACCCTGGGGAGCATGGCTCTGATCTTTGAGTATATCGTACAGGTCTGTGCCTGAAGCCACGGCAGAAGGGGGCCAGGGGCCAGAGCCTCTGAGACACCTGGGAGGGTGATTATCACAGTGGGCAGGCGAAGGTGAGGCAGGTGAGCCCCTTCTCTGGGCATCCCTGCCACGGTGACCTGTGGAAACACTTGTGCCCCACAACTATGCCAGCTCAGCAGCGCAGCAACAACACCCTTACCCTCCTCCTCATCGTCCTTGTCACCTTGAATAACGATGAGTCATTCAGCAAGCATTTCCTGAACACAGGCTGTGATGCAGGCAGTGTTGGCGGGGCCAGGGATTCAGTGGTGAAAAATAAGTGCAGGGAGTCGCTTTCATGGAGGTGGCATCCTCCTGGGGAAATAAACATCGAACAAATAATCAGCAAAAATTCTACATGTGGTAGATAAAGGGTGTGCGATGAAAGAAGGATTTGATTTACTTGTTGACAAGTTCTTTATGTCAGTTCGACTCTGCACCATACTATGGTTTTGGAAGTACTATCTTTATCGTCAAGGTCCAGATGAGGAAACTGATAAACTGAAAGTCATTTTTCCACTAACTCCAGTAAGTTTGCTTCCCAAGCCCTAAAATGCCACCATTGTTGTTCCATTTCTTTGAGTCTGAAAGTCTTTGGTTGTATTAGTTTCCTAGGGCTTCTGTAACAAGACATCAGACATATATTGGCTTTTAACACAACACAGGTTTGTTTTACAGTTCGGGAGGTCTCATTGGGTTAAAATCAAGGTGCCCGCAGGGCTGCACGCCGGAGCCGTCAGCGGGGAATTGGATTCTGGAGGCTTCCAGAGGCTGCCTGCCTGGCCCAAACCCCCCTCCATCACCAACACCGGCCACGTCAGAGCCTTTCTTGTGCTGCCACCTCGGGGCTTCTTTTCTCATTCCCTCTTTGTCTTTTCAGGACCCTTGTGCACCGGTTAATTCTGGATATCCTCATTTCAAGCTGATTTTAGCGAGATCCATCCCATCTGAAAACTTACTTTTCCCCTGCCATGTAGCAGAACATATTCAGGTGCCAGGGGTTAGGCCCTGGGCATCTCTGGGGAGCTGTTACTCTCTCCACCCTGAGGTCTATTAAAGGAGCCATTCCTCCTAGATCCTAGGTAGCTGCTGCATCAGGCAATGGACTGCACAGCCCAGGGAGAAGGCATGGCAAAGAGGCATTAGAGGCCTGGGGAACAGGGGACCTGGCCTCTGCACTAACTTGTAGAGTGACCTTGGGCGAGTCCCTTCTCCTCCCTCTCTCCTGCTTCCCTACATGTAAGGATGAAAGGGTTCCCAAGACCAAAAGGTGCAAACAACCCAACCGTCCACTGGCTGAGAAATGGACAAACAAAATGTGCTGTATACATACAATATACTATCCAGCCTTAAAAAGAAATGACAATGCACACCACAAGGTGGATGAACCTTGAAGACGTTAAGGTAAGTAAAATAAGACACAGAAAGATGTTATGATTCCACTTCTATTAGGTACCTTCAACAATGGCCAGATTTATGGAGACAGACAGTGCAACAGGCAGTACCAGGAGCTGGGCAGTGGGTGTTACTATTTAGTAGTCGCAGAGTTTCCATTGGGAATGATGGGGATGGATAATGGTGAAGGGTGTGTAACAATGTGAGCGTACTTAACGTCAGTGAATTGTATGCTTTAAATTGGAAATTTCATATATTGTGCCTTTTGCTACAACAAGAATAAATGAGTAGCTGTTTGAGGAGATTGGCTGATATCTTGGTGGGCGCTGCAACCACAAGTGGCCTCCATCGACGTGGATGTGACCCGGCTTCCTCCCAGGCAGAGACTGGGGACGGCGTCCACAGCAGAGCGAGGCCAGCGCCCTTTTCTTGCTTTCTTCCAGGGGATCCCATTTCCCAGCGACCTTCCCCTCATGGCCAACTGGGAGACCTTCTTGCTGTTCTTCGGCACAGCACTCTTCACGTTTGAGGGTGTCGGCATGGTAAGACTGACCCCCAGGGCTCCTCTGGGCGGCCCGTTGCCCTTCCAGTTGTCTGAATGTACAGGTCTTATGAAAAGCACAGAATATAGGGGCCGGCGCAATGGCTCACTTGGTTAATCCTCCCCCTGCGGTGCTGGCATCCCATATGGTCACCTGGTTCTAGTCCTGGTTGCTCCTCTTCCAGCCCCTTCTCTGCTGTGGCCCAGGAAGGCAGTGGAGGATGGCCCAAGTGATTGGGCCCTGCACTTGCATGGGAGACCAGGAGGAAGCACCTGCTCCTGCCTTTGGATCGGCGCCGTAGCAGCCATTTGGGGGGTGAACCAATGGAAGGAAGACCTCTCTCTCTGTCTCTCTACTCACTGTCTATAACTCTACCTGTCAAAGAAAAAAAAAAAGAAAGAAAAAGAAAAAGAAAGGTGCAGAATATGGCCTCCTCCTGACCAAGGGCAAATCACTGCCCACACACGGGGAACCCATGGGAGCTCACCAACCAGCCTGATTTCATAGGCATTCCTGGTGAAAAAAAAAAAAAAAAGGGGTGGAGCCCCGTGGAGCAGCCCCTTCTGACCAGCCCAGAGGAGGCCATCAGTGATCAGTGCTTGCGGGGGAACCCAGCCCCTCACACGGTGCCACGTCTCTGTCTACCTTTTCATTCCCAAACTTTTCTCACCTCCAGGTTCTGCCTCTCAAGAACCAGATGAAGAATCCACAGCAGTTTTCCTTTGTTCTGTACATGGGCATGTCCCTGGTCATCATCCTCTACATCTTCTTGGGGACACTGGGCTACATGAAGTTTGGGGCAGACACCCAGGCCAGCATCACCCTCAACTTGCCCAACTGCTGGTACGTCCCTATCCATCTCAGTAAGGGTGGGAGAGGCTTGGGATCTTAGAGTGAGTATCAGAAGGGGGCATGCCATTGAGCTGTTATTAACAACAAATATTAACTGTTAATATTAGTATTAATTACAAAAATAGGTCTGTGTCATAATCCAGGCTTTTTAGGTTTAAGATTGAATATTTTTAAAGATACTGCCATATTCACCTCACATTAGATATTATATACATACACATATGTACTGTTTTTTCTTGAAAACAGGGACATTCATATCACAGAACGAAGGATTCATGACAGTGATGAGGATGTGAGGAAAGTAGGTAGAGTATGTTATCAAAAATGGATCTACCCTGTGACCCAGCTACCCCACTCCTGGGAGTGTATCCAAAAGACATGAAATCAGCATATGAAAGAGATAGCTGACTCCATGTTTATAGCAGCCCAATTCACAGCAGCAAAGATATGGAATCAACCTAGATGTCCATCAACTAATGGTTGGTTAAAGAAAATGTGGTGTATATATATACAATAAAAAGAATTTGCAACCCAGTGGAAGGATCTGGAGCTCAGTGTGCGAAGTCAAGTAAGCCAGACCCAGAAAGACAAACAGCACATGTTTTCCCTCCTTTGTGGAAGTTAATATAGAGACCGTGTAAAAGTTGTGTGGAAGTCCTACCGTTTGGTATATGGTTCTAGACATTGCTTCACTGACGTACACCACGTACATGACAATGCCTCCTTGCAGTCTTCCACTGCCCTGTGCCCTATGAGTTTGTATTATTGTTACTAACTCCGTTTAATAGATCAGGAAGCTCATGTTCAGACAGGCTGTAGTGACTTTCCCAGCTCGTGCTGTGAGACGCTGAAACTTGAATCCAATCTGTCAGACTCTGCAGTGCAAAGCCCCTGAAATAGGAATGATCTGAGAATGTTTGGGAAACAAACAGCAACAACAAAAAGTAAACCTCTAATGACTGGAGTCCCACACGTGGACGTAACTCAGGCCCCCAATTCCAGAAACAGCCCCACATTTGTTGCTGTGCTCCAGTTGGAACCTGCTAGACTTCTTGTATTCGTTCATCCATCCATTCAGAAAACATTTTGGGGGCAGACCGGGAAGCATGCACTCATCCAGTGTAAACTGTTACTGTTGCGATGGCAGTACTGGGGACATAGTAACAAAGCTGTCAGTACCGCCTCTAAAGCTAACCCATGGGATTTGCATCCCGGTTCTTTTGTGACCTTGGTCAAGTTGCCTAATCTTGCAAGCCTCATTTCTACCCTCTGTAGAATAAGATGTGAATGCTTGTTCATATCAGTCAGGGTAGACTAGGTTATACTCCAATAATAAGTAACTCCACGATCTCTGGGACTGAACACACAGAGCTTTCTGCTATGCCCGTGCTGTGCAACCTGTAGAGGAGAGCTGGAGCCCAACCTGGATGGAGCAGCCCTCTCTAACATGTTGCTGGTTAGCGTGGACGAGGGCGCCGTGAGTCACACCTGTGACCATCAACCTGGGGACTCTTCACCTAGGAGTGACGTATATTGGGCAGTCAAAGCCTGTGACAAGTGTGATTCCACCACGTGCCTAGCAGTAAGTAGGCGGTGCACTGCAGACACCACTGTAGCCCTGTCTTGTGGAGGGTGAGGATTGGCTCGTTTAATCCACGGAAGTGCTGAGAGAAGGGCTTGGTGCTCGTGAAGGAGGCATCATGTGTTAGCTGTTTGCCCTGTAAGGAATCCCTGCGGCTTGGTCTTTAAAAAAAAATATTTATTTATTTATTTATTTAAAAGTGTTACAGAGAAGCAAAGGCAGAAGCAGAGAGAGAGAAAGAGAGAGGTTTTTTTTTTTTAAATATTTATTTATTTGAAAGTCAGAGTTACACAGAGAGAGAAAGGCAGAGGGAGAGAGAGGTCTTCCATCTACTGGTTCACTCCCCAGTTGGCCGCAACAACGGCTCTTCTACTGCTTTCCCAGGCCATAACAAAGAGCTGGGTTGGAAGTGGAGCAGCCAGGGCTTGAACCAGCGCTCATGTGGGGCACCGGCACTGCGGGTGTCAGCTTTAACTGCCACAGCACCAGCCCCAAGAGAGAGGTCTTCCACCCACTCGTTCATCCCCCAAATGGCCACAAAGGATGGAGCTGGGCTGATCAGAAGCCAAGAGCCTGGAACTTCTTCCAGGTCTCCCATGTGGGTGCAGGGGCCCAAAGACTTGGTCTGTTTTCTGCTGCTTTCCCAGGCACACTAGCAGGGAGTTGGCTTGGACGTGGAACACCCAGGACTTGAGCTGGTGCCCATACAGGATGCTGGCACTGCAGGCGTTGGCTTTACCCAGCTTGGTCTTTCTGAGATGAATGGAATGCTGTAGCACTCATGTAGCACAGAGCCAGAAAATGGGGGAAAATGTCACCAGCCCTACCCACCTCGCTGTATTTTGGTGATGACTATAAAATGGGGAACATCTTTGCAATTCTGCCTCGTTTTATTCAAGTAAGGCATCATCCTAATATACTGTGCCGGCGCTGCGGCCGGCACACCACGCTGATCCGAAAGCAGGAGCCAGGTGCTTCTCCCGGTCTCCCATGTGGGTGCAGGACCCAAGCATTTGGGCCATCCTCCACTGCCTTCCCAGGCCACAGCAGAGAGCTGGCCTGGAAGAGGGGCAACCGGGACAGAATCCGGCTCCCCGACCGGGACTAGAACCCGGTGTGCCGGCACCGCTAGGTGGAGGATTAGCCTAGTGAGCCGCGACGCCGGCCCCTAATATACTGTTATTTCTTTGGGCAATCTAGCATGCCACCAGCTGCCTTGGGCAGGGTACCTTTCAGACCTGGGACTCCAGCTTAATAAAAAGAAATGTGGGTATTGAGCTCCATCAGGATTTTGTGAACCTGACTGGTCCTCAGAATCTCCAGGGCAAGCTTAAATTAACAGCCCTTCCCAATAAGAAAAGACCAACAACCCAGGAACAGACGGGCAAAGCGCATTAGCAAGAAGTTTGCAAAGAGATTTAAAAATGGCGGTTTCCTATTTGAAAGAATAATGGAAATGCCTATTTTAAAAAATACCTGTTAAAGTGAAATGAACACTATGAGAAACGGTGACTTGATCAGCCCTCACCCTGACTGTTGATGAGCAACTTAATATGTTATCCCTCTTAGTATTTTTTTTTGTTTGTTCTACTTAATACTTTTGGTTGAATACTGTAATCAATACACAATTCTTCTTAAGTGCTGAAACTTAACTGAAAAGTGATCGCTGTTAAATATAAGAGTGGGAATAAGAGAGGGAAGAGATGTGCAATTCGGGACATTCTCAAGCTGACTTACCTCAAACAGTAGAATTAGAAACATACCAGGGGATTCCAATTCAATCCCATCGAGGTGGCATGTACCAATGCCATCTCACTAGTCCCAGTGATCAATTTCTGTTCACAATTGATCATAATGATAGGACTAAGAACCAAAGGGATCACATAAACAAGAAGAGTGTCTGCAAATACTAGCTGATAGAATAAAAAAGGGAGAGAATGATCCAACATGGGAAGTGAGATACACAGCAGACCCATAGAATGGCAAATGTCCTAACAGCACTCTGGCCTCAGAATCAGCCCTTAAGGCATGCGGATCCGGCTGAAAAGCCCATGAGAGTATTTCAGGCATGGAAAGCCAAGACACTCTGGGGGAAAAAAAACCTAAATGAAAGATCTCCATGAGATCCCAGTGGAAAGAATGGGTCATCAAAGAAGGAGGTACCTTTCTCTGAAGGGAGGAGAGAACTCCCACTTTGACCATGGCCTTGTCTAAAAATGATCAGAGTCAGTGAACTCAGGGGGCTTCCATAGCCTTGGCAGCTCGTGACAAGAGCCTAGGGTGATTACTGATGCCATAAACAAGAGTGTCAATTTGTTAAGTCAACAACAGGAGTCACTGTGCACTTACTCTCATGTAGGATCTTTGTCCTTAGTGTGCTGTACATTGAGATTTAATGCTATAACTAGTACTCAAACAGTATTTTTCACTTTATGTTTCTGTGTGGGAGCAAACTGTTGAAATCTTTACTTAATGTATGCTAAACTGATCTTCTGCATATAAAGAGAATCGAAAATGAATCTTGATGTGAATGGAAGGGGAGAGGGAGTGGATAAGGGGAGGGTTGCGGGTTGGAAGGACGTTATGGGGGGGAAGCCATTGTAATCAATATTCTGTACTTTGGAAATTTATATTCATTAAATAAAAGTTAAAAAAATACAATAGCGAAGCCTAGCATGCATTCACAAGTGGTTTTGGCAAGCGGCTACTTTCAAACATTTGGGCAACAAATGGGCACCATGCATAACCTATCAAAGTTTAAAATATATTTTAACTTTATTTGTATTCTAAGATTATTTTTGCCACCGTATTTTTACTTCTGGGGTTGTATATTGTATCTACACTGATAAATGTCCAAGGGTATTCTTTGCAGAAGTATTTACATGGTAAAAGACCAGGAATATTCTAAACATGGTGAGCTTGAGAAAAATTTACAGGATATCCATGCCGTTAGAATACTGACCAACTATGAAATACGAGTAGAAGAGCCAGATCTATAGGCACTGATAAGTAACAATCTCCAAGAAATATTTGATGGGAAAAAAATACAAAGTTCAACAGTGTGTAAGAGGAATACCACTGAGTGTGCCTGTGCATGTACCTGTGCACGTGTGTGTGTGCACACGGACACCTGTGTTCTCCAGGGTTGTGTAGATGCAGATCACTGCTGCAAAGGCCACAAGACCACTCTGAGTGGCCTCCTATGGAAAGGGGACTGGAGACTGGGAATAGGGGCAGGAGGGATGCTACTCTCTGCATGACTTCTACTACTTTAAGCAGCTACGACCTTTAAAAAATTTTTTTTTAGAAAACATAGGTTTCCAGGCCGGCGCCGCGGCTCACTAGGCTAATCCTCCGCCTTGCGGCACTGGCACACCGGGTTCTAGTCCCAGTCGGGGTGCCGGATTCTGTCCCGGTTGCCCCTCTTCCAGGCCAGCTCTCTGCTGTGGCCCGGGAGTGCAGTGGAGGATGGCCCAAGTGCTTGGGCCCTGCACCCCATGGGAGACCAGGAGAAGTACCTGGCTCCTGGCTTTGGATCAGCGTGATGCGCCGGTTGCAGTGCGCCAGCCGCGGCGGCCATTGGAGGGTGAACCAACGGCAAAAGGAAGAACTTTTCTGTCTCTCTCTCTCTCTCACTGTCCACTCTGCCTGTTAAAAAAATAAATAAATAAATAAATAAATAAAAATAAAAAAGAAATAAAAAAGAAAACATAGGTTTCTGAGCCACAGGCCTATTGACTCAGAATCTCCAGGAATGTGTGCTGTTAATGAGCTTTTCAGATTGCCTGAGGCCAGTCGGGCCCGAGTTCTTGGTCAGCAGCCACTTCTTTAACGCAGGGACAGTGAGCAGCTTTCAAGCCATGAGTGCGTCCTCCTTGGCCCTCCCTGGGAGCTGTGTTGCATTTCACATCCTCTCGATGATTTGTCCGCAGGTTGTACCAGTCGGTCAAGCTGATGTATTCTGTTGGCATTTTCTTCACCTATGCCCTCCAGTTCCACGTCCCAGCCGAGATCATCATCCCATTCGCCATCTCCCAGGTGTCAGAGAGCTGGACACTGTGTGTGGACCTGTCTGTGCGCACGGCCTTGGTCTGCCTGACCTGTGAGTAGGATAAGGGGACACCCTCTGCCCAGAGCTGTGACAGGGAGCCACAGTGGCATCTCACCATCTCTTGTTGGCTTTGCCTTGCTTTCTCTGTGATCTGGGGCAAGTACTTCATCCCTCTGGATCTCAACCTTTCCACCTGAAAAAATGGGCTTAGTAGAACTATGGCTTAGTAAAGATTACAGTAATCTCCACTGCCTGCACATAAAAAGTGGACACTGGCTAATTTATGGGAGAAAGAAGCATTCATTCAATTGCCCTCCTAAATGCCGTGACTATGCCGACATGATCTAATACTAGAAATGTAACATTAACAATTGAGGGAATGGTGGTGCGGAGAGAATAATAGGTCAGTGCTAAGTGACAGAGCCAGGATTCGAACATGAGTTGTGTAGCACCAAAGCCTGTTACCCTCATACCATACCATTTTCCTTCCTATCAAGTCTCCTATCATTAATAAACTGGGGTTTGACTCTAGGGAAAAACCCCAGGAGGCTGACTTGCTGAAGAATTGGGCTGAGGTTTTGGGTTCATTTTATTTTTAAAGATTTATTGATTTAGGCCGGTGCCGCGGCTCACTTGGCTAATCCTCCGCCTGCAGCACCAGCACCCTGGGTTCTAGTCCCAGTTGGGGCACCGGATTCTGTCCCAGTTGCTCCTCTTCCAGTCCAGCTCTCTGCTGTGGCCCGGGAAGGCAGTGGAGGATAGCCCAAGTGATTGGGCCCTGCACTTGCATGGGAGACCAGGAGGAAGAACCTGGCTCCTGGTTTTGGATCAGCGCAGCACGCCGGGCATAGCAGCCATTTCGGGGGTGAATCAACGGAGGGAAGACCTTTCTCTCTGTCTCTCTCTCTCACTGTCTAACTCTGCCTTTCAAAAAAAAAAAAAAGATTTATTGATTTATTTTGTTGAAAGGCAGAGTTACAGAGAAAGAGGGAGAGACAGAAAGAGAGATCATCCATCCACTGGTTCACCCCCCTGATGGCTGCAACAGCCAGGGCTGAGCCAAGCCAAAGTCAAGAGCCCAGAGCTTCATTTGGTCTCCCACATGGGTGGCAGGGGCCTAAACCCTTGGGCCATCTTCTGCTGTTTTTCCCAGACCATTAGCAGGGAGCTGGATCAGAACTGGAGCAGCTAGGACTCAAACCAGTGCCCATATGCGATGTCAGCATCACAGGTGGTAGCTTTAACCCACTATGCCACAGCGCTGGCCCATTGGTGCGTTCTTTTCTTCTCTCTTAATCACTCCCTCCCTTTCTGCATTCTCCCGTCCATTCATTCCCTCATTGGTGGCTGTAGATGCTTGGGAAGCATCATCAAGGGGACTAGGGAATTCTTTCTCTAGAGCACGCCCAGAAGAAGAGGATCGGAGAAGGTGCCTATGAGTAATGAACAAAAGGAGTAGGGATGTTTGCTATGGAGAAGCAAAAGCCCTGAGGATCTTTATATTGGTGCTTGAATGCCTGTGGGATTATCAGACAAGGAGGAAAGAAAATTCAGTCTTAAGGAGTTCCAGGAGTCAGAGTTTCAAGTCAAGAGAATTGAGTCTCAGTACGAGGTCAGGAAAAACCATGTAACTCTTGGAGGTGTCTAGCAAAATAATGGGTTATCGGATAGTGGCATCAGAGCTGATTGCCAGCAGAAACAGCACACCTGTCTGCTTTGAGGTTTTAGAGGGAGTTCCTGGTCCCTACCAAGATACCAGGTACCTAAAAGAAATGATTCCTAAAATAAAGGGTGTTGGCTAAAGAGCAAGATGGAGTGGTTCGGGCCACCCACGATCAGGCACAGTGTGGTTACAGAACCTGACCTTTTAATGCCATGACCCACTTCTGATATTTTTTTAAAAATATTTATTTATTTATTTATTTGAAAGACAGAGTTACACAGAGAGAGAAGGAGATGCGGGGTGGTGGTGTGGTGGTGGTGGTGGTGGTGGTGGTCCTTCCATCTGCTGGTTCACTCCCCAATTGGCCACAATGGCCGGAGCTGCGCCAATCCAAAGCAGGAGCCAGGAGCTTCTTCCAGGTCTCCCACATGATTACAGGGGCCCAAGGACTTGGGCCATCTTCTACTGCTTTCCCAGGCCATAGCAGAGAGCTGGATCAGAAGTGGAGCAGCTGAGACTTATACTGGTACCCATATGGGATGCTGGCACTGCAGGTGGTGGCTTTACCTGCTAGGCCACAGCACTGGCCCCCCACTTCCAATATTATGAGAAAACTCTGCCTCATCCTTCATTCATCCATCAGTTCTGCTACCCCTCATTCATTCAGCAATCTGTTGAGCACCTAAATATGCCTGGCCTTGTGCTGGACACGAAAGCTACAACAATGCACAATGCAGAGCATAGCGGCCCTGTTGTCAGAGAGTCTCCTACTCAGTGGCAGATGTGTGCGAGGACAGAAAATCACAGCATGGTCTGATGAAATCTGCCATGGTACTACACAGTGAGTAAGGTCACAAGTGCAGGGAATGCTCTTCGTGTCACAGGGTCCTGTAACAGCCGGGGCCAGGTCAGGGAGTCCTGCCCAGAACTGAAAGATGAGCAGGAGGTAGACAGAGCAGTAAGGAATACACCATGTGTAGGAAGCAAGCTGTGCCAGATCTGAAGCAAATATTTGTCTCTGCCCCCCCCCTTTTTAAGACTTATTTTATTTATTAGAAAGATAGAGTACAGAGAGAAGTAGAGACAGAGAGAGAGGGCTTCCATCCACTGGTTCACTCCCCACATGGCCGCAACAGCCAGAGCTGCGCTGATCCGAAGCCAGGAGCCAGGAGCTTCTTCCAGGTCTCCCACACGGGTGCAGGGGCCCAAGGACCTGGGCTATCTTCTACTGCTTTTCCAGGCCATAGCAGAGAGCTGGATTTGAAGTGGAGTAGCTGGGACTATTACTGGCACCCATGTGGGATGCCGGCGCTTCAGGCCAGGGCTTTAACCTGCTGTGCCACAGCGCCGGCCCTCTGGCCCCTTTGGAGAACTAAAAGCATAGAGATGAGAGGTGAGGTCCCAGAGTGTGCAGAGTGGCCAGTTTCCGAGGAGCCTGGGCCATGGGGAGCTGTGCCAGGGCTCTTGGGGGTAGGTAGGCATGGCCACAACTGGACCCCGTTGGGTACCCTCTGGGCCACCTTGCATTATAGCTATCCCTGAATGTCTTCCCTGTCCCCTCCGTGTGAGCCCTCCAGGGGGACAGATGCTGATGTCTGTCTGTACCTCCTCGGGTAAGCAGCTTCTTAATCCGCTGATGGAGGAAAGCTGTGGCCAGACAGCTGTCCCAGCTGTGAGAGTGCGAGTGTCCCTCCTGCTCTGATGGGGTATTTCAGAGTAATTCAGAAGGAGGCGATGCCTTCTTAAGGACCCAGAAAACTGGTATGGATGCTTTCTAGAGCATGTTTCCTCCAATTTGTCCATAGAAAAATCACAGGGTTGTATAAAATTATATCAGGTATGGATTCATTCAAACATTATCAAACATTCAAACATTATCAAAATCATGGATTTCCTAAGGAAAATCCATGTTCACAGTATATATAAGAGATGGAGATTTAAGAGTGTTTATAGAAAAGATGGGGAGTATGCGACTTTATTTAATTTTTATTTGGGATGTGCAAAGAAAGTGAATTCATTCCCCAGATTGTCCACAGTGGTCAGGATCAGGGTGGCTGAGGCCAGGAGCTGGGAACACATCCATGTCTCCCACATGTGTGGCAGGAGCCCAATCACTTGAGCCATCTCTGCTACCTTCCAGGGTCCACCATTAGCAGGAACCTGGAATCAGGAGCTGGAGCTAGGATTCGAACCCACAACCTGTGGTTAACCCAGGCTTAATCGCTAGGCCAAATGCCTGTCTCAGCCTTCCTATTTTATATACTACTTAATTACTAGGATCCTTTTAAATCTAGGACAATTAGTAGTTGAGATCCCATCCATCCTTTTGTCTAAGAAAGGTTGTGATACAGAGAGAACAAAGTTCGATTCAGTGTTTACATAAGGAGCAAGCGTTTGTTGATTTGCTATGGCATGGCAAGTTGTTCAGTGTACGTGAAGGGCTGCACTGGAGAGGATTTAGGTCAGGCATCCCAGGGGATTCTCATCTCAGCCCCGGGTGACAGTAGGCAAGCCCAGTGCCCTCCAGAGCTCCGGATTCCCCCATCTACAGTGAAGAGGCTGTAACTGCTGAGTGGTAGAGGAGTCTCCCAGCAAGTAGTTCATGGGTAAAACCCGCTAGGAAATAGGAAAGGAAGTGCATCTGTTTTGGTGGTTGGAGCAGGGGAGGGGGTGGCAGCACAGTGCCGCAGGGTAAGCCACTGTTTGCAACACTGGCATCCCATATCAGAGCACCAGTTCATGTCCCAGCTGTTCCACTTCTGATATGGCTCCCTGCTAAGAGCTTGGGCCCCTGCAGTTTACATGGGAGACCCCTATGCAGTTCCACTGCAGCCATCTGGGAAATGAATCAATGCACAAACAATCTCTGTCCCCCTCTCCCCATCTCCCCCTCTTTCCCTCTCCCCCTTTCCTCGTCTCCTCCCTCCCCGCCTTCTTCCCTCTCCCCCTCTCCTCCCTCTCCCTCTTTCCCTCCCACCCTCTTCTTCTCCCCATCTCCCTCTCTCCCTCTCTCTCTCTGTCATTCTTCCTTTCAAATGAATAAGTCTTTAAAAAAAAAAAAAAGAGTGGGGGTGGTGGCAGTGTAGAGCCACAGTGCCTGACCTACTGCCCGGGCTCTCAGGCTTATATGGAAATGTAGGGCTCCAAAGCAGTGGTTTCTGAGCTCCCTTCTTGCAGGGACCCTCAGTGACCCTAAGTTCCTCTGCAGGTGTCTCCGCCATCCTCATCCCCCGCCTGGACCTGGTCATCTCCCTGGTGGGCTCCGTGAGCAGCAGCGCCCTGGCCCTCATCATCCCGCCCCTCCTGGAGATCACCACCTTTTACTCTGAGGATCTGAGCTGTGCCACCATTGCAAAGGACATCATGATCAGCATCCTAGGCTTTTTGGGGTGCATATTTGGGACATACCAAGCCCTCTATGATTTGATCCAACCCGTCAACCATTCCATAGCCAACTCCACAGGTGTCTATGCATAATTCTCTATTTTTATTCTAACAGCACTCCCTACCTCCCATCCCTGTTTGACTGCCATGTGGATGCTATATATATATTCATCAAACCCCAACATCTCTATCTTAATTAGTGACTTCTTTATCTTTCCAAGAAAAATATTTAAAAGACGTAGGTTAGGATGGATGCCTCTCAAGAGACGCCTGTTTTGGTTTTGGATTTCTTCTGTGGCCTTTGTACCTCTGATCCAAAATCAGATTCAACCATTCTTATTATCAGCTTCATTTGGGAGAAAAGTGTCACTGGGGGGCCAGCACTGTGGCACGATGGGTTACACCATCGCCTGCAATGGCAGCATCCCATGTGAGCATCAGTTCAAGTCCCAGATGCTCCACTTCCAATCCAGCTTCCTGTTCATGCACCTGGAGTATCAGCGGAAGTTGGCCCAACTCACCCTGTGGGAGAGCTGAATGGATTTCCAGGCTCCTGTCACCCACGTGGGAGAGCTGCATGGATTTCTTTGGCTTGGCCCTGCCCTAGCTTTTGCAGTATTTGGGGAGTGAACCAGCACATGGTCTCTTCCTCCCTCTCTGTTAACTCTGCCTTTCAAATAAATAAATCTTTTTTTAAATATGTCATTTGTCCCAATATCCTAGAAACTGACCAAGTGTAAATGTAACAGAAATTGTTTACTTTCTAGTGCCAGGGCTACCATTCAAGCGTCAGATATGGAAGAGTATACATTGAGGGAAGCAGGCTTTGCTCAGCTATTCTGATAGGAAGAGTCACAGAGCAGAACCAGAACTGAGCAGTCGTTTGTCCAGACTCGAGCTCTGGGCTGATTTCCTATGGGGCAATGGGCAATTTCCCCAAAGTCTCAGTCTCAGTCATCCTGGCTGTGAAGTGAAGAGTTGGATTAATTGACTATTAAGAGCTCTTTCTACTCTGACACTCTGAAAGTGAAAAAAATAAGTTAATTTTTCCTCTAACCACGTGTGTGTGAACAAACAAGTTTCCCATCAGCTAGTTCTCTGTTGCCCTGGAGGTAGCAGCTGGCTGAGGGATAACAGTGTATTTTCTAGTAATCTTCCATGCCATGTGTGTCTGGCAGGGACACCTAGATTCCTGTTAATGCCTCCAGGAGTGACTTTCTTCCCTGGAAGGAGATAACTTTCCTTTTTGTTTTTTCCTTCTCTGATATCTTAAAGCCACTTAGAGCTAATTTAGGCTGATGGGGACGAGCAGAAGGATTCTGTAGTCATGTGCAAAGACTGTTGATCTGCAATTTAAATACCGGTTTAGTCTTGGAAAGAATTTTGAAAACAGCCTTAAACTCTGCAAACAGGGGCGTCCCTTTTGCTATGGCTTTTCTTAAAGACCGTTTTATAAAATGTAAGTCTTAAAATGTGTAACCCTTGGGACCGGCACTGTGGCATTGAAGGTTAAGCTTTGGCCTGCAGTGCTGGCATCCCATATGGATTCTGGTTTGAGTCCCAGCTGTTCCACTTCCAATCCAGCTCCCTGCTAAAGAGCCTGGGAAAGCAGTGGAGGATGGCCTCGAAGTACTTAGGCCCCTGCACCCGCCTGGCTGGAAGAGGCTCCTGGCTTCGACCTGGGAGATGAAGATGAAAGCTTGTTCTCTCTATTTCTCTCTCCCTCTTTCCCTCTCTCTCTCTCTCCCTCCCTCCCCTCCTCCCTTTCTTTCTCTCTCTCTATTTCTGCCTTTCAAATAAATAAATCTTTTTTAAAAAACTATAATCCTCTAATCTACCAATTTCACTTCTGGAATTTATCCTAAGAATCTTTTGTATTTACAAAGATGAATACAAAAGGAGAGTTTGTATATTTTTTTAAAAGATTTATTTATTTATTTGAAAGACAGAGTTATAGAGATGAAGAGACAGAGGAAGAGAGATCTTCCATCTGCTGGTTCACTCCCCAAATGGCCTCAACAGCCAGAGCTGGGCCTATCTGAAGCCAGGAGCCAGGAGCCTCTTCCAGGTCTCCCAGGTGGGTGTAGAGGCCCAAGGACTTGGGCCATCTTCCACTGTGTTCCCAGGCCATAGCAGAGACTTGAATCAGAAGTGGAGCAGCTGGGACTCAAACCGGCGACCATAAGGGATTCCAGCGCTGCAGGCCAGAGCTTTAACCCACTGCGCCATCCGCCAGTCCCAAGTCTGTATCATTTCTAATCATGAGAAACAAACTTCCCATATTAGGTTAAATAAATCATAATTCATCCAGAAAATAGTATGATGCCCCTAATGTTGCAAAAATGTATCCATTTTCTGTTGCTATGAGAGAATTGCTGAGGTTGAGGGACTTGTGAGGAATACAGGTTTGTTTTGGCCTGCAGCTCTGGAGATGGGAAGCCCAGAGCCTGGAGCCTGCGCTGCTTGGGTTCTAATGAGGGCCTCCTGGTGGAAGGGCAGGTGGGTGCTTGCCGAAGAGACAGGACAAGGCCAGCCACATACCCAATCCAGTCCTACCGGAGCTGCGCGGATGACCTCATCCCCTCTGAAAGGCCTTACTGTCTCTCAACACTGTCACCTTGGGAACCACATGTCAGCATGTATCTGGAGGAGACAAGCTGTATCCAAACCATAGCCAGCAGTAAAAATGTTTCTATGTAGTTTCATCTGTTAACATTTTATATACCACAGTATAGTGATCAAACCAAGTAACAGTGGTGAAACCCCATTTCTGGTCCTTTTTCTAATCCGGCGTCCGCATCAGGATCTCACAGTGCACTCATTCATCCTATTTCTCTGTTCCCTTCCAGCCTGTGGCTGCCCCTCCGTCTTTGCTTATTGTTTGTGACCTTGGTACTTGCAGAGTACTGCTCAGTTATTTTGTAAAGTGTCTCTCCATTTGGGCTTGTCTGATACTTTCTCATGATTACAGTGAGATGATACTTTTTTGAAAGATTTTTTATTTATTTCAAAGGCAGAATGACAGAAAAAGAAAACAGATCTTCCATATACTGGTTCACTCCTTGAATGGAGGAGCCAGGAACTCCATCCTGGTCTTCTATGTGTGTAGCAGGAGCTTAAGCACTTGGGTTATTTTCCACTGCTTTTCAGGCGCATTGGCAGGAAGCTGGATTGGAAATGGAGCTGCCAGGACTTGAATGCATGCTCCGAGATGGGATGACAGCATTGCAGTTGATGGCTTACCCTACTGCGTCACGATGCCAGCCCAAAGATGACACATTTTTAACAAGAATACCATGCAGATGCTCATGCTCCTCTCAGGAGGTACTCAACATCAGCATGGCTTGTTACTGGTGACGTTAACACGACCACTTGGTTAAGGTGGTGGCTACAGGTTTCTATGCTCTAAAGTGACTATTTCCCCTGCCTAGTATCTTGTGTGATCCTGCAAAATACTTTTCTCCTTGTGTTTGTAGCATCCATAGATGTTTCTTGTCTGTAGCAATTATCCCTGTGGCGTTTGCCTAATGGTGACTTTTTTCTATAACTCCTGCTACATTTAATTGAAATTCTGTTTCATATGGAGTTCAATTGTGTATTTTTATTCAACGGATTATATCCTGTTACTCTTACTATTTATTATATGCCTCTCATGCTTTCATTATCCTAAGTAATTCTAAGTGTGTAGAATGCTAACTCCTACTCCTGTGGAAACAAATTGACTAACTAGACTACAGTATTTAACTGCAGTTCGTTTGTTTTCAGCTGTATAGTATCCCACCTCTCCAGTGTGGTTGCATTACTTATTTGATATATGGTTCACTCATTTTCCACTGTTTGCACTTCATTTTGATTTCTCTTCATATCCTGGTTGAATTTAATCATTTAGAAGGTATTGGTTTTCATCCGTGGTTCTTGGCTCCTATCTCCACTCCCAAGGCAAGCCAAAGGAACTAGAATTTCTCTTCCCCAAAATGGGTCAGAGAAACTGATCTCCCCCAACCTTTCTGTCTCGGAGCTGACTACACAGCAATTCTCTGGCCTATCCCTGTCCGAGAGCCTCCCCCTCGGTCCAGGGGCCCGTGCGCGTGTGCGGGGCTGAGCACTCCCGAGCTGTGTCCTGGCCTTTCTGCTAATGCTGATGTATCAGCGGGTAGAGTTCTTCCTCATTCCCTTTTTAGAGCTAAATAATACTCCAGCCTGTGGTTAAGCCAAATGGGTTATTCAGCCATTTTTTCCCATATGACCATTTACATTGTTTTCAATATTTGTAAGCACAGTGCTAAATACGGCTAACCTTGTGCGTGTGCATTTTCGTCTTGCTGGACAAATTACCCATGTCTTCAAGGGTAATTGCCGGCAGTGCAATGGCTGCCAAAAGTCACACCTGGCATGGCAGGCAAACGAAGATTAATTGAGCTGATGAAGTTCCCTCCAAGAATGTGAACCCAAAAACAACTCTGAGGGGTGGGCGTCTGGCCCAGTGATTAAAATGCCTGCATCCCACACCAGAGAGCCTGGATTCAATGTCATCCTCTGGCTCCTGATTCAGCTTCCTGCTAATGTGGACCCTGAGAGGCAGCAGGGATGGCTCAAGTGATTGGTTTCCTATCACCCAAGGAAGATCTGGATTGAGTTCGTAGCTCCTGGCTTTGGCCGTAGCCACTGCAGGTATTTCAGAGGTGAACCAGTGGATGGGAGTCCCCAACTCCTCCCTCTCTCTAATAAATAATCATTAAAGAAACAAATGTGAAACCAGGCTAGACGATCCAATAGAGGGGGAAAAGACTGTACTTCTCGTAAGGGAAACACAGAGGAGCAAACCAAAGACTCACCCTGCAAGGTGATTAACAGGAAGAAGCAGAGATAACGAGCAACTCACGAGACCAAAAAGCGCATCCCCAGGACCGCATCAGCTCACTGGTGCACTGCGACAAGGCCTCTGACCACCCACTGCACCCAAGCTTCTGAAACCCCGCGGGGTGATCAGCAGCGTGCACAAAGACCAAGGAGGACTTCTCAGCAAGTACAAAAGGTTTATTGCCATTCTAGGTTTCAGCAAGTTGTCACAGTGGTGCAGTGCGGCGGTGGGCACCATGGGCAGCCTGACCCAAGTCTGCCTCTTCGCCACACCCTGCTCCACAGAGCAGCCGCTGCTGGTGCCAACTCTTCGGCAGCTGCCCCAGTCCCCAGTGGGTCGCTGAGGCTGAAGCAGGCAGTCGTGTGATCCCTGAAGCTCAGGGCTCTGAGACACAGCCCGCACCTCCACCAGCACTGGACAAGCCTTCTCCTGGAGACCACACACTGTGCGTTTGGACCCCTCTGAGGGGAGAAATGGTGCCACAGGATGTGCTTTAGACTAAAGAACAAGGCCATACAATTAGACCCAAGGTTGCAAACTGCATTTTGCAAACATCCATTTGGCCCCTGGGGCTGTACACTTTTTAAAAATAATAATTGCTAACATTTTAAAAGGTAAGATTTCATATAAAAATCTGGATTTGGGGCCTCTCCAATGGCAAAAAGTTGAGCCTCTCTGGCAATACTGGCTGGGCACACAGTGTTCTTCTATGGCACTGAGCAGAGCTGGAGAGCAGGTGCTCCCCATGGACTGATGGGCTGTCCTGCCAGCATTCCCAGCAGAGACGGGGCCTCAGCGGCCCTGGATCCCCATGTGTGTGCTGGTGTGTTGTATGGAGTATCACAAGAGTGTGCAATAATGGAGGTCTTGGCTTTATCCAAAAAGGAGAAATGGAAGTCGGATCTCAATGCACCATGTTCCCAGTGGTCCTTGTCACCCGTTGAAGTCCCTTGCTTGGCCCCACAGGAACCTGTGTTTGTAAGTGATCTCCAACGTCAAACATTCCCAATTGTCTCCCCCGAGGGACTCCCTGCCCCACCTGCTGTCTTCTCCAGGATACACCAAGCCCTAGTGTTAACTGGACAAACTCAGAAAGGATATTAATCACAGAAATGAAGCGAGGAGGAGACTAAGAGCAACTATTTTAGCCCCTTCATTGTAAGAATGGTTTAGAGTAGAACGAAAAATGTTAATATGCTCTCTCTGCTTTTAAGTCAGTGACTTAAAAAAAAAAAAAGGGAGAAAGTCACCAAGGGGTTTCAGGAGGCCAACCTGGGTCAGTCTGAACTGAGTTTCCCCAGACTCACGGGTTCCCAGCCCATGACTGCTTTGGAAATGAATGAGACTCTTGGAAAGCCATAGGGTGGGCTGGACCATGAGGCGGCCAGCCCAGCAGGTGTCCTGGGCCACCAGGAACTGCCCAACACATCCTCCCTGGGCTAGGGCAGATTGCGCCAGCCAAAAACCCAAGTGGTACAAAATGATTTTCAGTGAGGGTAGTGCAATCATTGCAGAGAGGGGCTAGAAACGGGGCAGAGGGTTGGAATTGAGCCTTGGTAAACACAAGATGGAGGAAGAGGACACCTTGCTCCTCCCCCTTCACGTGCTGTGGCCATGCTGCGCTATTTGCCCTTCAGGGAGGCGGCGATCTTGACGCAGGCCAGCCGCTCCTGGCCTCTGGCGAGGACCCCCTCAACGCGGTAGTTGCCGGTGCTGAGCCAGCTGGGCAGCTCCAGATCGGGTATGGTGAACTCGCTCTTGGGCAGTGAGTAGGTGCCCTGTGGGAAAGCAGGGGACCACAGATCAGTGGGAGCCCAGGGTGGGGACACTCTTCCCTGGAACATCTCTAGGATGGAGCCCTGAGCCACCCCTCCCAGTCTGCTGAGGGCCACACGTGCTTGGAGACTGCCCAAGCAGCATAGACTAAGGCTTATTTATAGTTTACGGGTGCTGGAGATAACCTCTAAATTCAAGTCTCCTATTTCACAGATGGAAAAACTGAGGCCCCCGAGAGACAAGCAATTCCACATAGGTCATGCCGACTTCCACATCCAGGGACATCCAGATCTGCCGGGGAGGAGGCAGAGACCCTCCTGTGCAAACCCTCTCTCTTTGGCCACAGGGCAATGCTCCTCCTGCCCGAGTACTCACTTCTTTGAAGGGGCAGTGGCAGGGGAGTCCATAGGTATGCAGGGGCTCTGGACAGGACTCCCCAGGGGGAATGAGCGTAGCCAGCATGTTACAGACGTCATCATAGGTGCAGCTGCCGAGCTGTTCCACGCAGGGGACCTTGATCCAGAAACCTGCCACTTCCTTCTCCACAGTTAATATCACCTGGTAAGAAAGAGTTTGAAAGGAGTTACAAGTTCCTGTTGTTTTAAGATTTGTTTATGGGGCCGGCACTGTGGCGCAGCAGGTTAAAGCCCTGGCCTGAAGCGCCGGCATCCCATATGGACGCTGGTTCTAGTCCCGGCTGCTCCCTTTCCAATCCAGCTCTCTACTACGGCCTGGGAAAGCAGTAGAAGATGGCCCAGGTCCTTGGGCCCCTGCACCTGCGTGGGAGACCCAGAAGAAGCTCCTGACTCCTGGCTTTGGATCAGTGCAGCTCTGGCTGTTGCGGCCATCTGGGGAGTGAACCAGTGGATGGAAGACCTCTCTCTCTGTCTCTACCTCTCTGTGACTTAGTCTTTCAAATAAATAAAATCTTTTAAAATTTTTAAAAAATAAATTAGAAATTAAGATTTATTTATTTATTCGAAAGGCAGAGTGACAGAGACACAGAAGAATCTTCCATCTGCGGGTTCACTCCCCAAATTCCCACAACAGCCAGGTCTGAACCAGGCTGAAGTCGGCACCCTGAAACTCTATCCGGGTCTCCCATGTGGGTAGTATGAACTCAAGTACCTGAGCCATCACTCATGCCCCCCACCCCCCGGTGTACTGGCAGGGAGCTAGACCAGAAGCTGAGTAGCTGGGACTCTTAGGGATGCAGGCATCCCAAGCAGCAACTCAACCCACTGAGCCACCCTGCCCACCCCATGTGCAAAATCCAGGGCAAAACACACCAGCTCCGCTGCCTCGATAACGGCCTGCATTACATTTTAATCACAGAACTGCTATTTATCTTTTATTTACTTATGTACAGGGAGAGAAAGAACTGGAATGGGACAGAGAAGTTTAGAATGGCAGCTGCACCAGAATGACATGCAAATTCGTGGGTTGTTCCATGTTTTTGGAGGTCATTACGTGATGTAAGCCAAGCACAGAAAGATAAGTGTTAATGATCTCACTCATACGTGGAGTCTGAAAAATAAGTGATCTCATAGTAGTTAAAGATATGATGTTGGTTACCGGAGGCTGGACAGGGAAGCGGGGGGAAGAAGTGAGGAAAGGTTGGTTGAGGGGTACTAGGTTATAGCTAGAAAGCAGTAAGAAGTTTTGGGGTTCTACTGCACAGCAGCATAACTGTAGATAACGCTAACATGCTGTATATTTCTCTGTTTAACAAACACTAGAGGGGCCAGTGCTGTGGCATAGTTGATTAAGCCTCCCCTGTGGTGCCGGCCTCCCAAAGGGGCACCGGTTTGAGTCCCAGCTGCTCCACTTCAGATCCAGCTCACTGGTAATGGCCTGGGAAAGCAGTGGAGGATGGCCCAAGTGCTTGGGCCTCTCTGCACCCATGTGAGAGACCCGGAAGAAGCTCCTGGCTCCTGGTTTCAGATAGGCTAGGCTTTGGCAGTTGCAACCATTTAGGGAATGAAGCAGCAGATAGAAGACCTCTGTCTGTCTCTACCTCTCTCTGTCTGCAACTCTGCCTCTCAAATAAATAAATCTTTAAAAAAAACTAAAAAATAGGATTTTGGATGCTTTTACTATAATATTAAATACTAGAAAGGATAAATATAGTTACCCTGAATGGATTTTTTTAACCTTGATTGGATATCACAGAATGTATACGTAGTCTCCAATAAATATGCACAATTTTTATATGCCTGTTACATTTTTTTAAATAAAAATGTTAAAATAGTGGTATGTAAATTGAAAAACTTGGGTGAATTCAACAACAAGTTTCATCACAGAATTTTTGGAGATTCTCTGCTGCAGAATCCCAGAGATACTGTGACCCAGCAATGACATGATGGTGGCACAGGCCCCAGGGTTACCTTCTCCTGGGCCTGTGGCAGACACTAACAACCGGATGTGACTCTTCTCTCCTTTCCCAAACCACATGCGTGCACTGAGCAGGCCCTGTGCAAAGCTCCTTCCACACTCACTGATTAACTCAGTTATTGCTCAAGAAAAACCCCCGTGACAAGGACTGTGCTGGGCCAGGTCGAACAGTGTTACAGGGACACACATTCAAATCAAGAGGCTCTCATACAAAACCGGTCCCAGACTGACATGGACCAGGACCAGACTGCAGGGCACATAAGCACAGGACAGCGTGGGGGGAGTTCAAACTGGAGTGCAGCACACCAACAAGTGGTTCTGCAGTGGACACAATTGTCCCTGCGCATCCACACCCAGGAGCCCCAGGGTACCAGCGTCCTCAGATGTCCTACTCTTTTATTTGCCTCAAATGGCCTTGTCACAGACAATGCACGCATATCTCCCTGTGTACTCCAAGTCACCTCTAGGCTATTATAATACCCAAACAACGTAAATGTTACAGAAGGAGTCCTTACACTGCACCGGGTAGGAAATAAGCAGGTAAGAGGCCTCTGCTCATCATGTTTCCAACCTGTAGTTGGTTGAAAACGTGGATGCAGAATATGCGGACCAGGCTGAGTGGATAAAAAAAACTTTTATTGTTCTGAAAGCAACTATTCACACACCCACCCCCAAGGCAGGCAATGAAGAGGGACAAACTGGTCACTCCCAAAGCAATTACAAAAGGTAAATGAACTCCCACATGCCAAAGACTGGCAGAGATTCTCAGACAATGCTCAGTGCCAGCAAGTGTGCAAAACAAAGGAAAATCTCCTTGCTGCTTGGGGATAATTTGATTTAAATATTTGGAGGCACTTTGGCAACAGTGGAAGACTTAAAACGTTTGTGCCCAGGCCATCAGGAAAGTATAAAAGGAGGCATTATAAGGGTGAGGATAAGGATAATTTCTATTAAACTGTTTATAATAGCAAAATAAATAAATAAAAACTGCCCTGGAAACAAAGCAAAGGTCAACAACAGATTTGTTGTACATAAACTTTGAGAGAGGCACAACAGAATATTCTGGCAATTAAAAATCAGGAGATTGACAGCCATCACAGTACACTTAGGTCCACAGAGACAAGGGAGAGCCAGACAGGCTCCGGGCAACCCTGTGTCCAGCAAGGAGACGTAACCAGGCAGGAACAAAGAAGATCCTGACAAGCTGAGAGGCAAGCGTCAGCCTTTGTGCAAATTTGCCAGGCCAAGCATAAGAGGCAGCACCCAGAAGCTTCTGCCAATTTCTCGGTTTGCCAAGAACTGCTCGGAGAGGGGAAGTCCCTGGCTGCTACAGAGACGTGAAAAGTTGAAGATGTTGCAAAGGCAGCTGAAGCTCGCTATGAAAGAGGAATGAGAACTTCAATCCCTCCCAAAGGGGAAACCAAAAAAGAGAACTTCAAGGATCGCGTGCAGCCAAAAGGCCTCCTTCGGACTTCCGCTTTCTGTTCTGAGTATCTCCCAAAAAAATCAAGGGAGAACGCTGCGGGCCATCCCCCGGTGACGCGGCAGAGAAACGGGGCCGCTGACAGGCTGCCTCGGGAAAAGCAGGTTGCTCGGCTGAGAGGGAAATGCAAAGAACCCGCTGCATGGTGAGCTACAGGAAAGCCTGGTGCAGCGAGCAAGGGAGTCGTCCAGGCTGCAAATCAGAGCAGGAGAAAGAAGGAAGAGGAGGAAGACAGGGATGAAGATGAAAGAGATGATGATGAGAAAGATGGTTCTAGCACACACAAATCAGTCTTTTTAAAGAAAAAAAAAAAGGAGTCATAAGCTGTGTGAGATTTGCTTTTAAACCATGCAATATTCTGAGGCTGGTGCTGTGGCACAGTGGGTTAACGCCCTGGCCTGAAGTGCCGGCATCCCATATGGGCGCTGGTTCTAGTCCCAGCTGCTCCACTTCCGATCCAGCTCTCTGCTGTGGCCTGGGAAAGCAGTGGAGGATGGCCCAAGTCCTTGGGCCCCTGCGTCTGCGTGGGAGACCTGGAAGAAGCTCCTGGCTCCTGGTTTCGGATTGGTGCAGCTCCGGCCGTTGCAGCCAATTGAGGAGTGCACCAGCAGATGGAAGACACACACACCCCCACCCCCGCCTCCTCTCCTCTCTCTGTAACTCTGACTTTCAAATAAATAAATCTTAAAAAAAAAAGTACAATATTATTTTATTTTTCTTGGCGGGGGGCAGGGTACAGGTAGCACATGACCTAATGTGTCTTCAGATAGCCCTTTCCAGGTGGTGTTTTCAATAGCCACGATCCTTGCCTGGAACACTGGGGATTGTAAACTGGCATGGAAATTTAAAGCAGATTCTCCCTGGTGCTCACAAAAATCAGTTTCATATGGGGAAGAGAGCGTTTTCATCTTCAGTTGTCTCCAAATATAGCTTATACAAAATAATTGTTCTGTTAATGAATATCCCTCTGTGAGTGCAAAAAAAAAAAAGTTGCAGCTGTTTTGTTGACATTCTGAATGCTTCCAAGTAAATGTAAAATTAATGTAAAAAAATGACTGAACTGGAGCTGGCGTTGCGATGCAGCTAATTAAGCCTCCACTTGGATCAAACCCTGGCTACTCTGCTTCCAATCCAGCAGCAGACAGTGGCCCCCACCCACGTGGTGCTCTCTTGGCTCCATCTGGCTGCTGTGGGCATTTGAGGAACGAATTAGCGAATGGACGATCTCTTGCTGTCTCTGTCTCTGTCACTCTGCTTTTTAAGTAGTTGAGAATAAATAAATAAACATTTAGTTTTTAATGGTTAGGTCAACCTAGGACCAATGCCATAGAAGGAGTATGGAATATATAGCATGATACAAACAAAAAGTAAATCTCATAGCAAGCGTCAGAAGATAATCCCACTAGTATAAATGCACATATATTTACAATTGCATTAAACCGTCTCACAGAATAAATAAAAAGCTACCAGTGACTATCTCTTGAGGAGTGAGCTTAAAGACACTGACAAGGAACACAGCTGATTTCATTTATATGCATTAAAAATAAACATACATGTTAACATGATTTTGCAGGGGAAAGAGGCAAAGAATATCCTACAGAATGTCAAAAGTGCTTATCTGTGCTTTATCACTCGGCAGTAAGATTTCCAGGGATTGATTTATTTTCTTGCTCTTTCAGCCAGTTGTGTTATCCACAGTGACTAAATATTACTGACTAACTGATGTGTCTGTCCCATAAATAACAGCTACAAAGCTCAGCTACCCAATGAGAGCCGTCAGCCACTGGTGTCAGCCCTCTGCAGGAAGTGGGGGGCTGACATCAGAGATTCCTGTCAGTCCTGTGATCCTGAGTAAGCCTCTGGATCTGGGGGTGCTTTGCTGCTCTGGGACTCTGGGATCCCAAAACCCTTCCGAGCACCCCGAAGCGGCGCCCTGCGGGGCCCTGCCGGCCGACCCACCGCGCTCACCTTCAGAGGAGTATCGAGGCGTACACCAGTCTTGCCCTCAGTGCTGATGGTCACATTCCCAGGAATGACGACGGGGTCAGGCTCCAGCGTCAGGCTCTTGATCACTGCGGGGTCCTTCCCTTCATCGCAGTTATCCCAGGAAAAGCTACTGAGCTGGCTCAGCGACACAATCCGGCAAGAAAGAAAGGGGAGAAAAGGTTAGGTGGACAAAAGGAACTGCCACAGATAAGAAGAATCAACAGAAAGACTCCAGTGTGACCATGGGTGAGGCACCTCCCCCGCCTGAACCTCAAATTTCACAGTGAACCTTGGGATAACGCCAGTCCTACCTGTTTTGTAGGCAGGGCTAAAATTAAAAGACTCAGAAGACAGAAACTTCCCTAAAAATATGCTGTAAAGTATAAGGCACAACACAGCAAACACAGAACCTCAAAGCAGAAGATTCACCTAATCTACCTCTGCCCACTGCCTTCTCCCATCCCCCACCTGCCTGCTCCCTGCGGCTCTCCAGCCAGCCCTGGAAAACCAATACAGGGCAAGGTCTTGGTGGAGTCACCATTGCAGCCCCTGCCCGAGACCCCATTCACATCATTCTCCATGTCCAATCCAGGACCGGGAAACACAAAACACAGTGGGAGGCAGAACAGCGCCAAAACCCCACCCTCAGGAGGCATGTCATGAACCTGGGGGGAACAGGACTCACACGAACACATGACAAGAGCCCCATGCTTGATGAACAACACCAAGCCTACCCAGGGCTCGCTGACCACCCTCCTGTGACTCACGCCGCATCCCCAATTAGTCACCCTCCACCGTCCCCAAGAGATGCCCCCGTTCTCCCTCCACAACTCCCAGGTCTCCTGTCTCCATCCCTGTCTTGTGCAACTCTGTCCAACCACTCACTCTGCACTCCTCAGCAGCCTGTCCACCTGCCTCGGGGTACCCAACACCTCCCACACTGTGCAGACTCCCTCCCACCTACTCACACCTTGCCCACCAAAGGACCACCAGCACTCCCACCACCCACCCACACCCTGTCTTGGGAAACAAAACCCGCCAGTCCCACAGGTCCAAGTTGACTTCTGTCTTCGAGACACCCACAGGCAACTGAACCAAGAAGGAACACAGACCCCAGCTAGGGACTGGGGTTCTGCCTGATTCTGGAAATGAGACACAAGAGGCTGAGTCACCTAAGGTCGTGGGGCTTGGTGTCTTGGGTCATGAATTTTGAGTTGGGCCAGAGCACCCAGACCTGAGATCGATGACTACACTGAAAGAGACAAGAATGAAGGGCTCTGCAGGTCTATGGGACAGGAAGCAGACAAAGTCACCCTATCCTACCTACTAAAGCAGGACAAGGTAGCACGAAGGGCGTGGCTTTGGACTGACAGGTGAGTTAATGGAGCATCGGTCAAACACACCTGGGCTGAAATCATAGTCCAGCCTCGTAATTTCACTGTATAAGCCAGTTTACCCCTTCCTCCCAGGCCCGGTCCAAGGAGCTGATACACATGGTTCATAACCCAAGGCCGGGCACAAAGCGTGACTTGGCTCACTAAATGACAGCCATGAGACATCTCAGCCTCCACTTCCTGCCATTGGTTCCATGAAATTCCTTGTATACCTGTAATGAACTTCTCCTTTACTTGAGCTTCTAGGAATGGGTTTCCATTCTTCCAAACGGGAAGTCATGCCGTGACTAAGGAAGGCAGGACAGGGTAGACACCAGTAAATGCTTCCTTCCACATTCATCCCACAGATATTCATGGAGCAACAAGCCCTGGGCTAGGCACTGTGTCCCTGGTGGTAAACAATTAGACACGGTCCCTGCCCTACCTCGAGGAGCTTGTAGTCTAATGTAAATAAACATCACCCACTAGGATTTGTGAGTGCCATCAAGGAAATGGACAGGAGGGACTCACTTAAGCAGGGCGGTGGGGAAGCAATGCTCCACTGAGACCCGTGTAGGAGGAGGAGTAAGCCACGTGAGTGCGCGGAGGAAGCACCTGCCAGGCAGAGAGAACCCAGGCCTGCGGTGGGGCGGAGCTGAGCGGCTGGGGGCACTATGAGGCCACTGGGCTACATGTGGTGGATGGGGGCCAGCTGAGGTTGCAGGGGTGGCAGAGGCACTAAAGCCAGACCTCACAGCAGGCTGAATGACTTCCCCAGGCCCTGAGGGCTCATAACCAGCTGGCTACCCGCATGGCAGTGCCCAGCCAGCTGCCTCTGCAGCGATACAAGTTTCACGGTTAGGTCAAGGCTCATGAGGAGAGGCGCGATGGATTAGCCATCAAGGCCACCAAGGGCCAGGCCCGGCACAGTGTATTTGCCATCTCCAGCCTAGGCCAACCTGTGGGAGGAGGTACAGCTCTAGAGGCGGTCTTACAGATACAAATCACAGAAGTAGACTAAAATGACAGCTCAGCCACTCTCACTAGCAGAGACCACGCGCAAGTTAACCCCTTGTGGCTCCAAGTCCTCATTTCCTAAGTGGCAGTAATTATATCTTCTCATAGGGCTAATGGGAGGGTTAACATTCCATACACAAAAGGTACAAAGCAAACTCCTCCAGACTGCTAAGCTCATGAAAAACAAAGACAGACTGAGAAACTCATTGGCCACTGGAGCGGGAGTCATGACAACAATGGCAACAGGATTCCCTACACTGAGTCCTGGAACAGAAAGAGTATGTTAATAGAAAACTGGCAGTGGGATGGGAGTTGTGGCACAGTGGGTTAAGCCACCACTTGAGATGCTTGCCTCCTATATCAGAGTGGCTGGTTCAAGTCCCGGCTCCTCTACTTCAGATCCAGTTTCCTGCTACTGCACATGCTGGGAGGCAGCAGATGGTGGCTCAAGTCCTTGGGGCCTTGCACCATGTGGGATATCTGCATGGAGTTCCAGACTCCTGGGTTCAGCCTGGCCCAGCCCCAGCTGTTGCAAGTATGTAGGGAATAAACCAGTGGATGAAAGATCTCTTGTTCTCCCTCTCTCTCTCCTTCTCTCTGTTGCTTTGCATTTTAAATAATTAAACCCTTTCTAAAAATGAAAAAAGACAACTGAGGAAATCCAACTAAAATCTAGAACTAATAGTCATGCATCGATGTTGGAGTCTTAGTTTTGACAAATGCACAATGACAATTTAAGACACTAACATGAGAAACTGGGTGAGGGGTCTTACAGAGAAGCCATAGTATCTCTGCAATTTTTCTCTAAGTCTGAAATTATTCCCAAATCAAAAGTTTACTAGGAAAAAAAGCACGTGGCTCAGTGAACATCACATAGCATGTGGCACTAAATAATATGCACTATACAGCACCATAACAAAGAGTCTATTAAGCATGTACTACATGCCCAGCCTGAAGCTAAACATTCTCCCCTGTTAACTAACACTCAGGCCCGAGCCACAAGTCCGGTTAAAGCTAGCAGATGGTTAAAACCCCAGCCTACAGCACCAGCATCCCATATGATGCCAGTTCAAGTCCCGGCTGCTCCACTTCTGATCTAGCTCCTTAACAACACACCTGGGAAAGTAGTGAAGGATGGCCCAAGTCCTTGGGCCCCTGCACCCACGTGGGAGACCTAGAAGAAGCTCCTGGCTCCTGGCTTCAGATTGGTTCAGCTCGGGCCATTGCAGCCATTTGGGGAGTGGAATACCAGATGATAGACCTCTCTCTCTCTCTCTCTCTCCCCTTAAAAAAAAAATTCCCAATGCGTAAAAAAAGCTAGAAGAGGATCCAGGTTCCCGGATGCTCAAACTCTAACACCTACCCACAGTCTCAGGATCAGGGCTCTGAATCATGTGAGCCCAGAGAAGACTACAGGTTACAACAGACAAGGATAGAAAGTGCCACTTCCTATGGAAGCTTGGTTGAGTTCCCATGGGCCTGGGTGAGGTGGGGGTCTCCAGTACCTCTCTCTCTCTCTCTCTTTTTTTTTTTTTTTTTTGACAGGCAGAGTGGATAGTGAGAGAGAGAGATAAAGGTCTTCCTTTTGCCGTTGGTTCACCCTCCAACGGCCGCCACAGCTGGCGCGCTGCGGCCGGTGCACCGCGCTGACCCGAAGGCAGGAGCCAGGTGCTTCTCCTGGTCTCCCATGGGGTGCAGGGCCCAAGCACTTGAGCCATTCTCTACTGCCTTGCCTGGCCACAGCAGAGAGCTGGCCTGGAAGAGGGGCAACCGGGAAAGAATCCGGCGCCCCGACCTGGACTAGAAGCCAGTGTGCTAGCACCGCTAGGTGGAGGATTAGCCTATTGAGCCGCGGCGCCGGCCATCCAGTACCTCTCTTAAACTGCCAGCAGGGGACCCTCTAGTGTGCCAAGGCATCCGTAGCCAGGTCACAGAGGAGCAAGTGCAGGGCTTGCATGCAAACCCTACCTCATAGTGGACTGACCTGGAGCCAAGACAAACAAGCTCAACCCACACTCAGGCCCCTGCTCCTTCATTAAGTAGGCAGAACAGACAGCCTGCCACCCAGGCACGGTGAGGCCAAGCCTGCTGGCTGCTATCACTTCACTTGCAATTTTAGAGCTCTCTCATTCACGAAAGCCTCTGCCTTCATTCACAACTCTCCAAGAAGCCGGTTGGCATCACACCCATCTTACTGATGAGAGCAAGGTGCATGCATTCCATGGACTGGGGCAGAGAAAGAGTCGCACATCTGGCACTGTTCCTAGCTCTCAAAGCTTCCCAGGGTATAGGGAGGGAAGCGATCTAGAGCAGACTCCTCTGCTCCAGAGATGTGTCTTGCCCAGCTATGCAGCAAAGAGGACGTGGGAGTGAGCTGCTTAGTTCTCAAAATGATAGCACTTCCCTCTCCCAGGGGTCTGCAGCATGAGGTGCTGTGGAGTGAACAGGGAAGCTGGAAGGGGGGGGGAGGGGCGAGAGGCGGGGTGTGGAGTTGGGGTTGGCCTCTTGGTGTCTCACCACAAGGAGCAGAGGGGTCTCAGGGCCGGATCTTTGTCACCAGATGGGCCAGCGTGGACCCTCTGGCCTGCACGGCTCTCAAACCCACCCACCCCTCAGGAAAACCCGGAGCACTGGAACAGGCGGAGGGACGGGGTGCCAGGCCTTATCCTGGAGTGACTTGAAGTCACGGCGTGGGAGGCGAGCAGGGAGCAGGGCAACGGGGCAGAATCTCTGGGCCTGGGATTGGCGCCTTCGTTTTGCGCTCAGAAAAGAGCAGGAGAGCAGAAGTGAGATGAACCCCTGCAAACGAGCCGGGGGGCTGAACAGGGCCTTGGAGGTCAGCTGAAGGACCAAGAGTCCCAGAATTAGCGGTTTGGGGCCCCGACGGCGGAGAAGCAACTCTAGGAACAGTGGCCACCCCTTCATCCCACTCGGAGCCGCACACACCCGGGGGCGGGCAGGCTGCCATTAAACTCCTAAAGCAGGAGGCACTCACCTGGTTCTGGAGAAGGTGCGCAGGGGACGCGGGGTGGGCGAGGAGCAAGCCCAAGGCGACCAGGAGAGCAACCTGCATCGGAGAGTGCATCGCGAAGGGCGGTTCCACGCCACGCTCACTGCACAGTCTGCCGCGGCGGCTGCGTCTTTAAATGCCTGCCTGCACTGATGATGCAAAGCTGGGCATTGCTATGCAAAGCAGAGCCCAGCCACTCGCGGGGTCGCCCCGCCCCTCCCGGTCCAGCCCGGAATGGGACGGGAGTCTCCCGGCTCCGCCTCCTTGAGGCCCTCCCAGCTTGGGAATCCAGGTCCTCCTCCTGGGCGGAGGGTGGGGAAAGGGCGGAGAGAGGCGGGGAGCGCCGAGAAGGGGCGGGGCTCGGTAAGGCCAGGGAGGGAGAAGAGCCCCGGGCGGGGGGGCTGGGCTGAGCTCCGGGGAGGGGCGGAGCTGAGCGCCGAGGAGGGGCGGGGCGGAGCCCCAGGGAGGGGCGGAGCTGAGCGCCGAGGAGGGGCGGAGCTGAGCGCCGAGGAGGGGCGGGGCGGAGCGCCGGACCAGGAAGGAGCCGAACGGCGTTTTCCGAGTCTCGCTCATCGACCGTGACCGCGGTAAGCACTTCTAGGAACCCACGAATTCAGTGTTTGCGCAACCAAGTCTTTCTTGACAGAAATGTCAGCCGCGTGTTGACATTAGCTTCCTCATCCATGTGAGGAATCGCTGCCTTATAGTTATTACAATAGCTAACCGTAAGTACTGTCTTTTGAAAGAACCCAGGTTGTTTTGCCCTGTGTTAGCACTAGGCATCTGATACACAGTGATAGCTCTACCAGGGCCACGCAGCTGGGAGAAGGTAGAGCAAGGCCGAGATTCTACACACCATCAGCCGGCACTTGGTTAGGTGACTGCGTTAGCTGAGGCTGGATTGTGTTTTTAAGGGAATAGCATTTGTACCGAGTTACCACCAGTCCGCGGACTTGTGTCACTAACAGATTCCCAGTGTTGGGCATGTAGCAGGCACCCAATGGCTGTGAACAAATGAATGTGTGAGCAGAATTTAAAACTCATCTATTCATCTTTATTTTTTAGAAAGATTTTATCTATTTATTTGAGAGGTAGAATTACAGAGAGAGAGAGGGAGAGACTCCCCAAATGGCCGCAACAGCTAGAGCTGAGCTGATCCAAAGCCAGGAGCTTCTTTTGGGTCTCCCACACGGATGCAGGGACCCAAGCACTTGGGCCATCTTCCACCACTTTCCCAGGCCATAGCAGAGAGCTAGATCAGAAGAGGAGCAGCCAGGACTTGAACCAGCACCCATATGGTATGCTGGCACTGCAAGGCGAGGCTTAACCCACTACACCACAGCGCCAGCCCTGTAATCATCTTTTTTTAAAACAAACTTTTAATTTTTGAATTAGTTTTAGGTTTATATAGAAAAGTCGCAAAAGTAGTACAGAACTCCTCCAGTCTCCCCTGTTGCTAACATCACAATAGGTACTGTTATGGAACCCAAGTGTGGTACTTCTCACAAGAGAACCTAGTAATTCAGGGGACAAGGACTGGAAGCAAACAGACAAGTCTGTGCAGGCTGCTAGCCATTGGGGAAGGCGGCATGCTATTGCCTGGGCCTCATGCACCCTTTCCCATAAGGAGAGAGAACTGAAATTTATATAAGGAAATACAGATTTAACTGCCTGACTGCCATCATGGGATCACGGGACAGGGCCAGCTGCACAGGGGTCTCTGGCTGGTGGGAAGGGGCTGGGTGGCATCGCGGTGGGGACTCTCAGCCCTAGTCACAGTCCAAGCTCTGGTCGGGCTGACTGAGCTGCCCCAAGTTACTTTGCAACTTCAGCTGGCTGTCTCCAGGCCAGCTCCTGGAATTCTCCGGCAGGCATTATTTGCCTGTCGAATTGGACAGACACTCTCATGAGGCACAAGTCTGGCTTTTGTCCACCAGAAGGTGAAAAGGCCAATGCGTTCTGTGTGGTTACAGCTGAGAACCTATGCTGCCTCCTCGCCAGTTTGCAGGCCGCTGGGAGCCTGAGCTGCAGCCCCGCCCTCCCATAGCACCCACGGGATCGCCCCGCCACACCACGCCACGCCATGCCACGCCATGCCACGCAGACCCCAGCAAATGTTCCTGGCCTTGAGTCTGCGGCAAGTGGCGGAGCAGCATGGTGTTGGTAGAGGAGCTGGCGAGGTGCTGATGCCCATCCGGGTCAGGAACACCCCAGCCAGCTTTGCATGGCATGGTCCTGATGCAGACAAACCCTCTGCCTCGGTCCTCGCAGACTCTCATGCTCCCCACAGGAAAGACCCCAAATACAGGGCATGGCACCATTTCCTGGTTGCCTCCAGGGCCAGTGGCTCAGCGCTCTCTGACCGCGCAGGTCTGGGCCTCCAAGTGGCCAGTCTGGAGATCCCTGTGGCGTCCCTGGACAGAAGGGGCTGAGGGGAATGGCTGTGTGCGGGAGGAGAGTGGCAGCCGGGAGGCCGGGCGGAGCTCGGGCGCCCCACCAGATGGCGCTGCGGTGGCTTCCTGCCGCCTGCTCCTTCGGAGTCCAGATCAGCCCCACTTCATGTTCAGGTCAAAGACAAAAGTGCAGGTAAAAAGAGCGAAGTATCCAAGCGTCAGAGACAGCGCCTCTGCCTCCTCCTTTTGTGAGCCGGAGCCCCACCTGTGGGTCTCAAGTGGCCTAGGGCGTCACTAGCAGCTCTGGCGGCTCTGTGTTACTGGAAAAAGACATTGTGAAGGTGTTGCCAGATGCGGTGTCTAGACAAAGAGCAGTGGTGGGTGACGGGTTGTCAGGATCCTTAAGTGTGGATCACTCTGCACCCGGGTAAGGAAGGCTGTTGCTAGCAGTTGGATATTAATGAAAACATTGTGGCAATCTGAAACACAAAACTAAGAACCCAGCATTGACACAGTAATGGTCACTAAGCTCCCAACTAATGACCTTCCGGTTGCAGTAAGCTCTTCCCCTCCCATCTAGCCCAGTCCCTCATTACGCACAGTGCACTGAGGTCCACAGAAGAAACTTTGCCCAGTGTCACGCTGTTAGCAGAAGAGAAGCTAGAAGCCCTTGCTCCTGAGGCTGATCCAGAGACCAGATGGGATGCCTTTGTGTGTCTGCTCCCTGTGCCTGTGGGGTGCACAGTGTCAACATTCGTAGGACCTGGAGCCTCACTGGGAGACAGGAAGGGGGCTACACAGACCCCACACCCCCCGGCATCAGGCCTTCTCCATCTTTGTAGCAGCCAAGTCCTCTACACCCCACTACCCACTTCTTTCCCACTGCTAAGTCTCAGACCCAGTCCATTACTGCCCAAGAGGTCCATGACCTTGGGCAGTAGAAGGTGGCTTCTCCCAGCTGCCTTAGAGGACTTCTCTGTGAGCAGCTGAGGGGACCTGGCAGGTGCAGATGAAGGACTTGGAGTCCACAGGCACAGTGTCTGGAAAGTAAGACTGTAACCAGGGTGGCCGGAGGGATGGCACAGTGGCTGGACAGAATGGTTTCTCCATGTCAGACAGACCCCAGGTTTGTACCCTGCCCTGACACCTGCTGCTATGAGAGCCTGGACAAGGACCTCAGCCTCTGTGGCTTCAGCTTCCTCATTTTTTAAAAAAAATGAGAATGAAAATACCTCTCAGTGATAAGCTATTCACCAGTAATTGAACAGACCGAAGGCCTTGTCTCCACCCCATGGGCACACCCGCAACCCACTACAACTGTAGTCTTACTGAAGAGCAATCAGAAAGAAATAAAAGATTTAGCATCAAGGATTCATACCAAAAGACGAAAAACTAGGGTCAAGTGATACCAAGTGGGGGCAGACTGTGTTTGCCTCTGATAGGGATTCTCTGAGGAGGTGGGCTTTCCCCGTCCTTGAGCAACATTTGGGGGAAGAGCCAGGGTGAACATTCAACATGGTCAAGAGCCTCAGGCCGTGGTTGCCAGCCAGGGCTGGCCATTGCAGTCCTCTGGGAGCTTTATATTAAACTGCAGCCCCTGAGCCACACTGCAGACATCTGAACCCCTAGAGGTGAGTCCTAACCATAGGTGCTTTTAAAAAATTTCAGATGGGCACAGGTGTTGTGGCGAGGCAGGTTAAGCTGCTGCCTGGGATGCTCACATCCCACACTGGAGTGTCTGGGACCGAATCCCTCTTTGCTTTTTTTTTGATATTTAGTTTTTTTTTCTCTTACAGGCAGAGTGGATAGTGAGAGAGAGAGAGAGAGAGAGAAAGGTCTTCCTTTTTGCCGTTGATTCACCCTCCAATGGCCGCCACAGCTGGCGCGCTGCGGCCGGCGCACCACGCTGATCCGAAGGCAGGAGCCAGGTGCTTCTCCTGGTCTCCCATGGGGTGCAGGGCCCAAGCACTTGGGCCATCCTCCACTGCCTTCCCGGGCCACAGCAGAGAGCTGGCCTGGAAGAGGGGCAACCGGGACAGAATCCGGCGCCCCGACCGGGACTAGAACCCAGTGTGCCGGTGCCGCTAGGCGGAGGATTAGCCTAGTGAGCCGCGGCGCCTGCCCCGCTTTGCTTCTGATCCAGCTTCCTGCTCATTTGCAGCTCCAGGAGGTGGCTGATGATACACAAATACCCGGCTCCCTGCCACCCATGTGGGAGCTCCTGCTAGACCACCTGGTTCCTGGCATCAGCCTGGCCCAGCCCTGGCTGTTGTGGCTTTTGGGGAGTGAACCAGTGTGTGAAAGATCTCTCTCTCTCTCTCTCTGTCACTCTGCCTTTCAAATTAACCAATTAATTAATTTTTTAAAATTCCAGATGACTCCAGTGTGTAGCCAAGTTCGCATCAGGGATGTGGAGCACCCAGCATGCACACAGTGGTGCACACCTACACAAAAGTGATAATTATTAAAAGACATGGCTCCGACCTTTGAGGAATGCACGTTCTAGGAGTGATGGGAAGCTGTGAATGGTTGCCGGCTTACTAACATCAATGACAGTGAGCTTTGGGCAGGAGTAAGTGAGCCTGGGCCTTGGGGTAACACGGCCCAGCAGGAGGAGTTCCAAGCAAGCGTGGATCTAAAGGCTAATGTGCATGCATGCATGGTACCTGCCCCCTCACATGCTGGGGCGGCAGGCTGGGGGTCAGGTGCAGGGCTTACAGACAGGTGATGCCAGCTTCCGTCTTGATTCACTCACTTGCGTGCTGCTTCTTAGA